GGCTTAGCTATTTGACTCAGCTGTTTGACTCAGGTGTTTGGCTCAACTATTTGGCTCAGCTGTTTGGCTCAGCTATTTGGCTTTACGCTGTTTTATCGACTTGAATTAGAAGATTCAACTTGGCTCCTAAGAACTAGACTTCTTTGCAAAGTTGAAAGAGAGCTTGCCTCTGTCAAGGCTTTACAGTCATGGACCAAAAGTCTTTTAACGTTGGTTTTTAGAAGTTTGTTCTTTGTATATCTTGATCCAAATCCGAGCAATTTGCAAACGGTTAAAAGTTTTAAAGAGCTTATTATCTCTAATTTTAACATTACAAAAAAATGGATTTGACAATTTATCAGGTATCATAAACTTTTTAATAAAACAAAAATTGATGGACAAAAGTCTTTTAACATGTGAGAAAAACATTATGAAAATCAATACTTAGTAGGTCCTCCGTGAGCCGCAATTACTGCTTGAATTCCCCTTGACATGCTGTCAACCAGATCACGTAGAATTTGGGGTCCAATAGTTGTCCAGACTCGACGGATGAAGTACCAAAGCTCCACTTTTGATCCGAATGGTTTCCCCTTCAATTTCGACTTCACAAACGCCCATAAGTTCTCGATCACATTCAAATTAGGACTATAGGGAGGAGCAGACACAAGTTGAACACGGTTTTCTTTGAACCATCCTGGCACCAGAGCCGTTCCTCCATTGGCGAGTCGAACACGACGTCCCATCAGCAGCTGTGACTGGTGGCACGGGGCATTGTCCTGGTAAAACAACCAACCTTGACCCATATTTGTGGTCGAAAACGATAGAAAATCATCCTCCAGAATCGTCTTGTAGCGTTGAGCATTCAGCGTTAAGTTTAGAAGGACGAGTGGGCCCTGTGAATTTCTGGACATTGCTCCTAGAAATCAGAAAAACAGTAGGCACAAAATACAAAGGTTCTTACCCCATAGCTTGATCGATCCGCCACGAAATTTAACTGTAGGACGCAAGTATTTAATGTTATAACGTTGTCCGACTGGTCTCCGTATCAAATGATTGCCATCAGGGGCGAAAAGATTGACTTTCGATTCGTCGGTGGACAAAACATTGGCCCAATCGTGCGACGTCCAACTTTGATACTTCTTAACAAACTCGAAACAAAGCTTTCAGTGCTTAGCTACAATCAGAGGTTTCTTGGCGGCCCTTCTAGTCATCAATTCACCACGAATCAGACGTCGAGTCACTGTTTTTCGAGAAATTTCTTTGTTAAACTGTTGCTTCACCATAGCCACATCAGATGCATTCAGCTTTGGGTTCTTCTTGTGGGCCAGAACTAGTACCTCGTCGTCTCGTGAAGTTGTGACTGGTGAACGTCCACTTTTTGATGCACGATGAAGGTTTCCCACGAGTTTGGTCCTGGAGACAACAAGCGATACAGTTCGGTACAATGGAAGAGCTCAGCGACGGCTTTTCTAGACATTCCATTTTTTCGGGCTTCGATAAATTGTCAAATTCATCTTTTTGTAATGTTAAAATTAGAGATAATAAGCTCTTTAAATCTTTAATTTAAACCGTTTGCAAATTGGTCGAATTTGGACCAAGATATACGAAAAACGAACTTCCGAAAACCAACGTTAAAAGACTTTTGCCCATGACTGTATTTCTAAAATTGAGCCCTATTATCTAAACTCTTTTACCATAATCACTGCAAACTAGCTTTCCGACAACATTTCACAACTCGAGCTCACTCCCTCACTCAAGATCAGTACTTTCATTGACAATTTTCGCTCTTTTCATTCATTCATTCAATTCGAGCTATTTCGGTAAAACACCAAAGTAATTAGTTTATAGTGTTTATGCTTTTTGCGAAAGAGAGAGGCATTTGATAATTCGAGAACTCATTTGTGCCGTGCACGATGACGTTTCCCTACATTCATTTCTTCGTGCCGAAATCCTATTGTTCTTTGCTCAATCTTTATATTACTCGAATCGTAGTCTGAGTTCAAATTTTCTTTTTTGTTAAAATTGTTGTTTGAGCGGTTTGAAAGAAAAGTCAAGTGGCACTCGTTAGAACGTATCGAAAGCTGAAAAGGGTGCTTCAAATCGAGTGGGTTCTCTTGTAACCCAATTCCATATTTCCATATTTCCATATTTCAAATTTCCAAAACCCTCACTGACATAAATTTCATAAATTTTACATCACTTTTTGGAGTATTTATTTGAGAAAGTTTCAGCTTTTTGGGGTTATTAGCGGGACTAATTACCCTACTAGTTCATTTTCATCTTCATTTTCATTATTACCCCTTAAAGTCTTCAGAAAAGAAAACTCCTCCTTAAACTTAAGTTATTTATTCAAATGGGTTTTTGAAGATTGCAACGCAAAATCGTTTAGGAGTTAATTAACTGGTGAGGGGTTGAGATTTTAAAGATACTCCTTTAAACTCATCACGAGACTCTCTCCATCTCCATCTCTTTGAATTTCGCTTTTTCTTTTAGTCTTTAAATCCTCATCTACGGTAGTTGAAAAAAAATTGAAAAACTTTTTTAGTTGTTTCTATTTTTCTTTTCGCTTTTTCTATTGTCTTATCTATTGTCTACTGCTTTTTCTATTGATCTAAAGCTTTGTCGTTATCTCGTTAAGTCGTTAATCCCCTTTAAATTACCCGCCGTTCGCTTAGATGCTTTTCGCTTAGATGCTTATTAGATGACGTCATTATTTTAAGCTAATAAATTTCAAGTAATGTCGTAGGATTGTATGTAAAAAAAAAAAGAGTAAATAAGAAATGTTGACGCGAAATTCTCGACCCTTTCAGGCGAAATTTGACCCGATTTGAGTTTTTACGAGAGAAATTCCTTTTATGTTGATGGAAATTTTGACATCAAATGCATGACATTTACTAAACGATTCACTCATTCATTTTCCTTTAATGTTTTTCTTCTTTAGTGTTAATTCCGGGTTTAAAATAGAGTCTGAAATAGAGCAGACCTACCCCCATTGGCTTTGAAAGATTTTCTTGGTCTTCTCGGTCTTCTTCGTCGACCAATTATCGAATCAGCGCTAGTGCCTTGAAATGGAGAAAGCGGGGATCAGCCTCCAGAAAAATCATTCCATTCTTTTCTTTCTTTTCTTTCTTTTTAGAAAACCAAACCATTAATTTATCAAAGAAAATTTTCTATTAAAAATTGATTTGTTAATGTTGTTAATGACGAATAGCTAAATGATTTCTTGGGGGAGTCAAATGGAAAGCCGTTTCTTCGAAAATTGCACCTGTTCTCGAATACGTCAATCCATGACTCTCAACTAATTTTAATTGATATTTTATATTTGTTGAACTTGTTAAAACTTCTTTTTTTTTTGATTTGAGAGTTTTGTGGGATTTTGTTTAAAGTTTTGTGCTTTGTTTTGTTTTATGAGAGTTTTGTGGGGATTTTTGGCAAAATTATGGATTCATTTAGTCTTCGAATCTCATCATTTCGTTTCCCGGAAACCATGAACCATTCGCCACATTCGTGTGCATAAATGTATTCTTTAAATAACATTTTTGAATCAAGCTAATCTATATAGTAGTGATTTATATAGTAGTCAAGTTTTATGACTCTAGTAAAGTTGATTTTATGACTGTAGAAAAGTTGATTTTATAACTCTAGTAAAGTTGATTTTATGACTCTAGTAAAGTTGATTTTATGCCTCTAGCAAAGCTAATTGCTTGCTTGTGTCTAAAAGCATAAATCTTATAGGAAAAGGACAGAAAAGGATAAAAGATCTGTTTTCGAAAAGCTAAAAGAAAGCTATTTCCGAATTCATTGTGACACCAATTGTTTTTGGAGAAGTGAATTTTGTATCTAAACTGTATTATACTTGTATTTGTATTTGTATTATAGTGAATCTAAACAAAATGAATTCCACAAGGAAAAGCGGGAGTCCGGAAATTGTTTTCTCTTGAAAAGTGTGGAATTTTAAAGTCTTTTCTTCTGCCACGAAAAGTGATTGGAGTTAATTTCGGCCATCCTTTTGATTTTGATTTTGATTTTGATTTTCCTCCGAAGAGATTTATCAAACTTTTATATTCAACCACAGGATTTCTTTCTTTCGCAGTCTTCAGGCATTCAGAAATCGAGCTTTAGCTGGGTTTTTCCCGTTCCACTACTTGTTGTACCTTGTAAATTGTAAAGATAATATGTGCTTTAGTTGCTTTAGTTGCTTTAGTTGCTGCTTTAGTTGCTGCTTTAGTTGCTGCTTTAGTTGCTGCTTTAGTTGCTGCTTTAGTTGCTGCTTTAGTTGCTTTAGTTACTGCTTTAGTTGCTTTAGTTGCTGCTTTAGTTGCTGCTTTAGTTGCTGCTTTAGTTGTGAAACTATTGTTTGAATAGACTAAATAATGCTTGAATATACTTTTATATCTTTTTTTCACATTTTTTAACTACTAATGCTGTATCAACTTCTCGTTCAACGCCGACAAACTTTACCGAATTTTTTCCCACCTGGCTCACTGTAGTCACCCACCATTTCCAGGAATACATTGTACTTTTAATGAAAATATTCAATGAACCAGTTCAATGAACGGTTAAAGAAAATAAAGAAGCAAAGAAGCAAAGAAGCAGGCTAATGTCATTAACGGAAAAAAGAAAATGCCAGAAAATGCCAGACATTATGCGCTAGCTAAAATCGATTTCATCTAAAGTCAAGATAGCTACCAGATTTCATCTCAAAAATCGCAATTATTTTATTTTTATTCTTGTGATTTGAATAAAAATGTTGACTAATTTAACTAATTTGACTAATTTTTAACCAAATTTTTCTTTGACTAATATAACTTTTTTGAGAAAAACAAAAAAAATCTCAAACCTTCTACAGGTGTAAAAATGATTCCCCGATTTAGACTCGAAATTTTCTTCATTTTCCTCCCTTTCGATTTCTGCTTTTTTTTTTTCGATTTTTGACATTTCCACGATTGTACTTTTTGAATTTTGAGGTAAAATTTCCAATCTTCAAATTTCCAGGTAATCCCCTTTGTTGTGTGCTGTGGATGGAGCTGCGGTGGAGCCTCGGTGGAACGCGAGGTGTGGGTGGGATGTGGCTTCTTTTCGTCCTTCTCCCACTCTTTGCCACCATCACTGCTGCGATTTCAGGTGAGAATATCGAATGTTTTTTGTGGTCGAATCGAATTTACAAGTGGTTCGACCTTTGTAAATTGAAACAGTTGCAGCTTACCATTAAGGCTATAGAGTGATTTTGATTTTGTTTTTGATTTTGCATGATGGAATTTGTTATGTATTTGATGCAATTTGAAATTGCAATTCAAATTTAATCTTAAATTATTGAGCAATTAAAGGCATTTTTACGGGGTAAGGCGTGCTGTTCAATCAAATATTTATATTGTGGCCACTGTTGGACCACACCGAGACACGGTCTCACAAGAAAGTATATAGATCAAAATATCAACATATATTTCTTACATATATTTTGATTCCAGGAGAAAGCAAGATGATGCCACTTCTTGAGCTCGAAGAAGGCGATGAACCGGTAAATCTTGTCATAAGATGAAAAAACCAGCTGAAAACCCCACTGTTTTCTGGACGATAGCTTTGCCCCCGTGGCGCAGTCTGGAACGCGCTTTTCTACCGCCCACACAACCTGGGTTAGACTCCCGGATGCCTTTTGCTGACGGAACTTTTGCTTTTTAAAAAAACAGAATATGAGATGCACAACTATATAAAATTCTAAGCCTAACAAACTGAAAATCATGCAAAACGGCCAACAGGGAGCCGTACAGACGAACGAACGGACAGACACTTTCTTTATATATAGCTAACGGCGGGTTTTTCTGGATTTTTTGGGGAAGAACGGCTTTTGTCGCCATGGCGCAGTGAATAGCGCGTCGGTCTATCGCCCATACGATCTGGGTTCGACCCCCGATACGATTCCAATGTTGCTTTTTAAAACATCCAAAAGCACGTTGCGCAACTACATTGGATTCCCTATTCAACGGCGCAAAATTCATTGCAAACGGTCCTCTGGAAGCTGAGGATTAGCGCGCATAGACAGACGAACAGACAGATAGACAGACAGACAAACAGACAGATGGACAGACAGATGGACAGACAGACAAACAGACAGATGGACAGACAGACGAACAGACAGACGTCTTAGTCCCTTTATATCTAGTAGATGATTTGAAACCAAATCCAATAAAAGCTTATCATTCATATCGTTTTTAGATTTATTTGGCAGTGAAACGAGCGCCCGCGATACCGTTCCAGGGTGGCATGTATGGGAAGAGGGCGGCTTTGCCATTCCAAGGTGATCCAGTTAATTCAGTTCAGATATCGTATTTTCCCTAATAGTAGTGCACCAAAAGCTTTGCGTAAATTGCTCGAAATCTCGAGAACCGTTTATCAGAACCTATCGATGTGGGATCGGAAAATGTAGCTGACGATGAGATCTAGTGGGAGATCAGAGTTTCTGTGAAACTTGGAAACCCGAAAATCGTCATCAACTCGGCTCGTCCGGGTGCACTATTAGGGAAAATCTGGTTGATTGAGATTTAAGTGCGTGTCTTAATGCATAAAAAAAATCGTGTCTCATAGAAACTCGAAAGATTTCAGGTGGAATGTATGGAAAGAGAGCAACGATGCCATTTGGCGGGGGAATGTACGGGAAACGAGCTGCACCCATGGTACCCTTCTCTGGTCAGTTTTTAGAAAATAAACCAGTTTTTCATAAACCGAAAATGTTAACATTCTTGAATTCTATTCAACATCACTAGATCTAACAATAAAAAAAACAAAATTCCAGGTGGAATGTACGGTAAAAGAGGCGATCGAATGCTGCGATCGATGCCGTTCAGCGGGGGAATGTACGGACGATGAGCGATCGTCAAAATGTTTCCTTTTCCCCCATCCATCCTTCTCTCAATCATTTACTTCTAATAGATTAAATTAAAGATTAAATTTCTTCTTGTCCCCCATTCTCTATCATTCTTTTTTTTTTTGATCTCTCATCCGATATTCTTTACGTTTAAAGTGCCAAAGATTGAGAAAAGTTTTGTTTTTTTTTTTGTATAAATCTTTTGTAATGTAAAAAATGGCTTTTGTTTTCGATTTGTAGTCAGGAAAGAATAAATTGTTCCATGTTTTTGTGTCAGGGCTTATCGACATGTTGATTTGAAGAATGATTTGAAGAATGATTTGGAAAATGATTTTGAAAGTGAATGAAAATGAATGGCGGAAAAGGCAAGTTGACTTTATTTGATTGTTTGAATGAATAGAATGAATGGGTTTTGTATTTGGGATTTGGGAGAGGGAAAGAAAAAGTGTTTGGATTGAATTGACGAACAAATAACGACTGCTCCGTGACAGCTGATCAAATGAAGGGCTCTTTCTCTCTGTCGGCAGAAAAGCGACAACGATCATTCCTCTTTTTCAAATCACAACTCATCATGCTTTTTCTTTTTTACGTTTCCCCCTTTTTTCTTTGTTTTCGTGATTTTCGTTTTGAAGAGATTTTTCTGAGTGTGAGAGCTTTCGTGACATTTCAAACGTAGCTTTCGAACGTTGTAAACAGATTCTATAGCATTTTGAACATCATCTTCTAATGGCATAAACATCATCACCATCTTTATCTTTCTTCAGGATTTACCGTATTTTCTCTAATAGTAGTGTACCCCGGCGAGCCGAGTTGGTGACGATTTTACGGTTTCCAAGCTTTTGCAGAAGCTCAACACTCTAAACCCCCACTAGATCTCATTGTCAGCTACATTTTCCGACCTCACATCGATAGGTTCTGATAAACGGTTCTCGAGATTTCGAGCAATTTAGGCAAAGCTTTTGGTGCACTACTATTAGAGAAAATACGGTAATCATTTTTATCCTTAATCTCACAGAATTTATCATCCCTTCTCAAGTACCGTATTTCCTCTAATAGTAGGGCACCGTACAGACCCCAGTTAATGTCAATTCTATGGTTTCCAAGTTTTCACAGAAGCCCAACACTCAAATCCCCCACTAGATCTCATCGTCAGCTACATTTTCCGATCCCACATCGATAGGTTCTGATAAGCGGTTCTCAAGATTTCGAGAAATTTATGCGACGCTCAGGGAGCACTACTATTAGTTATTATCAAATAGCACTACTAAATACGGTAGTTATTATCAAATACTTAAAGATTTCAAGAAAAGACAAGAAGAAAATGGTTATTTTTTGAATTTTAGAACTGAAAGGAATGTTGAAAAATCAATCGGCTTGATATTTCAGCTTTCAAAACATTGTTGACTTTAAAAAGAACATTTATCTGAAATCTTATCCTTAATAAGTGCTAAGTTTCATAAGTGCTAAGTTTAATTTCATAAACTTCACAGCTTACAGCGATTTGACAGATCAACTTGCAAAAAATGTATCTAATTGCACTTTTAAAAAATGGAAAATGGTCTCTGAAATCAAATATCGTCCAGTGAGCTCAAAATCTATTGTATTTAGGTGAAATGATTTGAGTGGGAGTTGACGGTATTCACTCTTTCCCCCCCTACAACTCTCACTTTCAATTCAAATCCATTATTCTCTAAAGAGCTTTCAAAACGGAAAAAAAAGTTGTTTGTAAAATGATTTCCCTCATCATTCATATTTTCTGACGCGTTCATGAAAAGAAAACAAAATATTCAATGATTTTTTACGAAAGGATTGAGAGACAAATTTTTTGGAAAATCGTCTCTGAAATTTTCGAGAAATTTTCGAATTTTGCTTATCAAGAATTTAATGTTTCAATTTGTTTCCTAGAGAAAATTAAATTTCTTATTGAGTTTCTATTGAGTTCCTTTATGGTTCCTTTTTAATTCCTTTATAGTTCCTATTTAGTTCCTTTATAGTTCCTGTATAGTTCCTGTATAGTTCCTTTATAGTTCCTTTATAGTTCCTATTTAGTTCCTTTATAGTTCCTATTTAGTTCCTTTATAGTTCCTTTATAGTTCTTATTTAGTTCCTTTATAGTTCCTTTATAGTTCCTATTTAGTTCCTTTATGGTTCCTATTTAGTTCCTTTATAGTTTATTTATTTATTTCTCTTTAGTTCTCTATTTTAGGAATTCTATTTTTAAACAAAACTGTCGTCGGTAAACGTTTCATTTTCGCTTAAAGACTAACTAGTTTCTTGTGGAAGAGAAGAGATTCTTTTTTGAGCTACTCCTCCTTTTTGTTTGCCTGAAAGCGATGGTTTCGATTGACGAATTTGGCACAATTCAAAGGCATTTCCGGATTTCATTTTTTCTCTCAATCATCTATTCTTTATATATTTTATCGATTAGATGTAGTAGTAGCTTTTTTTTGTTTTTAATGCTTTTAAGCTTTTAATGACAAGCTTTTACGAAAAATATTGTTATTTTCCTTTATTTTAAAGCTCAAAGTTTTGATTTTGTTTTGATTTAAATAAATTAGATTTTAGAATTAGAATTAATCATGGACAAAAGGCTTTTAACGTTGGTTTTTAGTTTTTAGAAGTTTGTTCTTTGTATATCTTGATCCAAATCCGAGCTCAGCTATTTGGCTTAGCTATTTGACGCAGCTATTTGGCTCAACTATTTGGCTTTACGCTGTTTTATCGACTTGAATTAGAAGATTCAACTTGGCTCCTAAGAACTAGACTTCTTTGCAAAGTTAAAAGAGAGCTTGCCTCTGTCAAGACTTTACAGTCATGGACAAAAGTCTTTTAACGTTGGTTTTTAGAAGTTTGTTCTTTGTATATCTTGATCCAAATCCGACCAATTTGCAAACGGTTAAAAGATTTAAAGAGCTTATTATCTCTAATTTTAACATTGCAAAAAAATGGATTTGACAATTTATCAGGTGTCATGAACTTTCTAATAAAACAAAAATTGAGCCAAAAATCGATGGACAAAAGTCACAGACAAAAAATTGATGGACATGTGAGAAAAACATTATGAAAATCAATACTTAGTAGGTCCTCCGTGAGCCGCAATTACTGCTTGAATTCTCCTTGGCATGCTGTCAACCAGATCACGTAGAATTTGGGGTCCAATAGTTGCACAGACTCGACGGATGAAGTACCAAAGCTCCACTTTTGATCCGAATAGTTTCCCCCTCAACTGTGATGTTAAAAGGCTTTTGTCCATCAATTTTTGGCTCAATTTTTGTTTTATTAAAAGGTTCATGACACCTGATAAATTGTCAAATCCATCTTTTTGTAATGTTAAAATTAGAGATAATAAGCTCTTTAAATCTTTTAACCGTTTGCAAATTGGTCGGATTTGGATCAAGATATATAAAGAACAAACGTCTAAAAACCAACGTTAAAAGGCTTTGGTCCATGACGGTAAAGTCTTGACAGAGACAAGCTCTCTTTTAACTTTGCAAAGAAGTCTAGTTCTTAGGAGCCAAGTTGAATCTTCTAATTCAGGTCGATAAAACAGTTACCTCTAAAATTCAACGTTAAAAGACTTTTGTCCAGAATCTTTTTTTTTAAACAATCTCAATAAAAATCCGATTTTATTTTTTTAAAAACAAACACAATCGTTGACCAGTTGAGAGATTAGAGAAAAAATCGAACCTCGATATTTAATCGCTTTCAAATTGGATACCCTCACAAAAAGAATTCTGAACAAAACTTGTATTCAAAATGTTCTCAATCGATTCATCTTCTCAACTTTCTTTAAAATTTTTATTTACTTGAGGAATTAAGGGGAGAGGGGAAGGGCTTACCCCAAGGGAAGAAAGGGAAAAGCTTGCCCCAAGGCGAGATTTCAAATGAATCATTTCTCCTTTATCAAATAAACCATTTCCTTTCCTATTTCAATTTCTTTTCAAAACTTCTTCAATTCTCTAGGCAAAACGGGCAGAATCTTGGCTTCGTCGGGGCCGAGCGTGGCCGGCAAGTCGCCCGCTGGCTCAACCTCGAGTTTGTTTTTGGATTCAATTTTGATAGCAAACAAAAGTAGCAATTGATTGCGAGAATTGTTTAGTAGAAAAACTATGATTAAAATCTAGCTATTTGTAGGTATTTTTAAAATTCCCAAGTGCTCAGGTGCTTCATCGATGATGTCAGCATCTCCGACTCCATCACTGCCAGCGACTCCTTCACGAAAACTCCCCAAATACACATCCATCGATCTTGAGTCCGAATTACCGCAAATTTTTAGGTTTATTTTGTCTTTTTCTTCTCTAATAATCAATTTTAGCACAAATCTCAATCCAAATTTACATGATCCGGACATGACGAATTTCTATGGACATCCGAATTTGGGAAGGTTTGTCAGAGCTATGTCAGCTATGTCAGAGCTGTCAGAGCTATGTAAGAGCTGTCAGAGCTATATTAGAGCTGTCAGAACTATATTAGAGCTGTCAGAACTATATTAGAGCTGTCAGAGCTATATTAGAGCTGTCAGAGCTATGTTAGAGCTGTCAGAGCTATATTAGAGCTGTCAGAGCTATGTTAGATCTGTCAGAGCTTTGTTAGAGCTGTCAGAGCTTTGTTAGAGCTGTCAGAGCTATGTCAGAGCGTAAAGTGCACTTGTGATTGAAAATTTGAAATACTAGATAGATTGGATGCCTTTAAAGAAAAAGTTTAGCAATAATGATGAAGAAAATCTTTAACTTAGTAATGAGTTTTAGATATCCACGCTCAAAGGGAAGCTCTTCACGCCACAGCCCTCCACCCCTCTACCAGCATTCGCCTGCAGGTAAATGAAATGAAACCAATAAAAACACTTTAACTTTCAAAGTACCCTGACTCTGTACTTACTAAAGAAAAATTTTATTTCAATTTAATACCAGATAGCTTTATCAATGAGAATTAGGAGTTGGCGAGAGAAGGTAAAGCTAAGATTTGCTGAATGTGCAAAGCCAAGATTTTTATAAACCTTTTTAAAGCATTAATAACTAATAAGATTCACTGAAAAGTTCAGAGCTTTTAGTTTAGTTCCTTTATACTTCCTGTTTGGTTACTTTATAGTTCCCATTTAGTTCCTTTATAGTTCAGTGCTTTTATTTTAATGATCAGTCTTTATAGACAAAAGCATTTCCCTGGTATTTTTATTTACGAAACTTCTAATGGCCTTAATTTTTCTTATAGCCGACCGAGCAAGCTAAAAATTTGGATATACTGGATTTTCTCTAATAGTAGTGCACCCATAAGCTTTGCCTAAATTCCTCGAGATCTCAAAAAGCGCTTATCAGAACCTATCGATGTGGGGTCGGAAAATGTAGCTCACGATGAGATCTTGTGGGGGATTTGAGTGTTGAGCTTCTGTGAAAACTTGGAAACCCGAAAATCGTCAACAACTCGGCTCGCCGGGGTACACTACTATTAGAGAAAATACGGTAATTGTAAAAATGTTATAGAAAAGAAATGGAATTATAAGAAAACGAAAATAATTTGACAGATTTTCGACTTAATCTGCTTTCATATAAGGCGTAACAAATATGATGCGCTACCTAGGGGAAATGGGAAATGGGAAATGCCCGTACCCGTACCTAACGGGGAAATGCCCGTACCCGTACCTAATAGGGAAATGCCCGTACCCGTACCTAATGGGGAAATGCTCGTACCCGTACCTAACGGGGAAATGCTTGTCACCGTTATGGCTTGTAAATCGTAAACACTTGGTAAACTTTTGATCTACAAAATTAAGCATATTTTTCTTAATATATTAAAAAATTTTTCTAGCTTATGCTAATAAAAAGATTTGTTTATTTTCCAGGAGTGACCCCACCGGGTTCCCCTCGTTTCTCATTCTCGGTCTCTCGTGGTCCATCTCGTCCTCGCACGATTGTCCTTTGTTTGGTGCTCGTTTTCCTCATCCCCCTTCTCTTTATCTTCTTTTTTCTCAAAATCACTTCAAAAGATCGCTTTTTAAAATAGTTTCTACGAAATTTCTAATCAATCTTAACTTATTTTGCTCCCCCCACGGTCACCAATCATTCGTGCTGTTAAATAAAAATTTATTCACAAATTTAAAACAAAAAGAAAATATAATCTCTCTGAAAGTTTCAAAGAATCAAAAGAAAAAACAACAAATAAACAAAGTAAAAAAGAATAGAGAGAAGAAAAGAAAAAAGAAAAAAGAAAAAGAGAAAATTATGCGAGAAATCCTTTCTTAGGGGTTTTATGATTTGAAAATCTTTTTTTCTGAAAGACCCGTTTGAGGAAATTTAAAAAAACTAAGCTAGCAGAAAAGAAAAAAAAATAGATTCCAAAATGGTTGGCAGTTCAAAAAAAATTTAACCATTACCGTAAATACTGTAATAGTACCCCACCCCCATAATGACGGTGCGGAGTGTTGCGTAGCTCTAGCTTTGAACGAGTTTTTCTCGACACTGGTTTATGCTACAATGCGCGCTTAGGTATCAAAAAATAGCCCTGAATTTCAGCTATTTTTTGATACCAAAGCCGCATTTTTTGAAAGTACGGGCGCTTTGAAAAAAATGAAATATTAAAAAACGTTTGCGACTACGCGACTGTACGTACCCGTACTTTCAAAAAATGCGTCTTTGGTATCAAAAAATAGCTGAAATTCAGGGCTATGTTTTGATACCAAAGCGCTCATTGTATCATAAACCAGTGTCGAGAAAAACTCGTTCAAAGCTAGAGCTACGCAACACTCCGCACCGTCATTATGGGAATGGGGTACTATTACAGTATTTACGGTATGTAAAATTTTGCAATTCTAACTACCTTAAAATAGAAATGAAATGCAAAAAAAAAACAAATTGGGCTAAGAGTTGAGATCATTTTTTTCGGGTCGTGTCAACGGTTTGAAAAGTGTTTAAATAAAGAAAAAAAGACATAAGAAAAAGAAAAAGAAAAAGAAAAAGAGAAAAGAACAAAACAACCGAGAAATTGTTTTGTATCAAATTTTGGATGTTTAAACGTTAAAACATTGAATATGAGATTGAATTTGAAATTGAATTTGAAATTGAATTTGAAATTGAAATTGAAATTGAAATTGAAATTGAAAAGTATCAAGGATAAAAGAATAGAGAAGGCACATCAAAATTTCACAATTGAAACCTAAGATTTCAAAAAAATATATATAAAAATATATAAAAATATATAAAAATACATAAAAATACATAAAAACACATAAAAATACTTTTTACATATAAAAAAAGGTTTATTTAGTTAAATGGAAAAATTTCTTTGATAAGGAATTCTTTAGAATCTATTTTATTAGTGATTATGGGATTTTGGAGATCACGGTATTTGTATGTTAAACTGAACAGGTCTAATTCTCATAGCTTAGGTTTCGAATTGGATTCTTTATCTTATTTTGAATAATAAAACTATAGTATAATTTAACTATTAGATAGTAAACTATCTAATCGTTAAATCAAAGTCAAATCAAATCTAATAGTCAAACTTAAACCCAGTTAAATCCAAGTCAAATCTAAATCCAGTCAAATCCAAATCAAATCTAAATCCAACCAAATCCAAGTCAAATCTAAATCCAACCAAATCCAAGTCAAATCTAAACCCAGTTAAATCCAAGCCAAATCTAAATCCAGTCAAATCCAAGCCAAATCTAAATCCAGTCAAATCCAAGCCAAATCTAAATCCAGTCAAATCCAAGCCAAATCTAAATCCAGTCAAATCCAAGCCAAATCTAAATCCAGTCAAATCCAAGCCAAATCTAAATCCAGTCAAATCCAAGCCAAATCTAAATCCAGTCAAATCCAAGCCAAATCTAAATCCAGTCAAATCCAAGCCAAATCTAAATCCAGTCAAATCCAAGCCAAATCTAAATCCAGTCAAATCCAAATCAAATCTAAATCCAACCAAATCCAAGTCAAATCTAAATCCAGTCAAATCCAAGCCAAATCTAAATCCAACCAAATCTAATAGTCAAATTTAAACCCAGTCAAATCCAAGTCAAATCTAAATCCAACCAAATCTAATAGTTAAATCTAAATCCAGTTAAATCCAAATCAAATCAAATCTAGTCAAATCTAATAGTCAAATCTGAATCTGGTTAAATCCAAGTCAAATCCAAATCCAATCTAATAGTCAAATCTAAATCCAATCAAATCCAGTCAAATTCAAATCAAATCAAATCCAGTCAAATCTAACAGTCAAACCTAAATTCAATCAAATTCAAGTCAAATCCAAATCCAATCTAATAGTCAAATTCAAATCCAATGAAACCCAATGAAACCCAATGAAACCCAATGAAACCCAATCCAATCCAAGTCAAATCTAACCACAAATACCATCGTTAAAGAAATCCAGAAATAACAATGGAAAATGAAACATGAAAGTTTGAATGGCTTTTTAATTTAACCTTATCTCTAGTGTCCCTAGTGGAAAATGAATGTTAAGGTAAACTCGAGATTTTAGAAAACTCAAATGCATCAGTGATTTAACACTACTAATACTATCATCAAATTATTACACAAACTTTAACACTTTTCATTTCCCTACAAAATATTGGACTAGAGTTGGGGACTCGTTTTCATTTGAATGCGGCTGACCTCGTATTTAAGAGAAGCGACATGGGAAAATTCCAACCCAAACCTAATTCCATCTTCGTTTTCTCAGCCATTTCTCTTGGCCTACAAGCTGAAAATTATTTCTATTTGTAGACAAAATTTCAGAGCAATCGATTAAGAGACGGCTAAGAAAAGGAAAATGGAATTCGGTTCGATTTGGGATTACGCACACGTGCCTGACTACAGCAGAGTGTCATTCTCATCGGGTGTCGTCGCTGGGGATACAGACGATAAAGAAGCCCTCACTCCTCCCTGTCCACCTGAAAAAGGAATTGTAAAGAAATGTGAAGAAATGTAAAGAATTTAGTTTTAAGTTTTAAAAACCGATTAAACTTAGCTTAAATTTACTTCAAAAAGATAACGGTGATTAAGCCGGAGTTACGATAAGCCATTAAAGCTATTAAAGCTATTAAAGCTATTAAAGCTATTAAAGCCATTAAAGCTATTAAAGCTATTAAAGCTATTAAAGCTATTAAAGCCATTAAAGCCATTAAAGCCATTAAACTCATCAAACCCATCAAACCCATTAAACCCATTAAACCCATTAAACCCATTAAAGCATATCTAATTGAAAAGCTAAATCTAAATTTGAGAATCTAAATTCTATAAATTCTAAGAATCTAAATTCTAAAAACTAAACTCAAATTTAGATTTAGCTTTTCAATTAGATATGCTTTAATGGCTTAGCGTAACTCCGACTTAATCACCGTTATCCTTTAGAAAGTGCTCAAAATGTTACATATGACAATAGCCCGCAGTTTTCAATTCACCAACCCAATAGATATGCTTTAATGGCTTTAATGGCTATCGTAACTCCGACTTAATCACCGTTATCCTTTTGAAGTGAATCAAAGCTAAGTTTAATCGATTTTTAAAAGCCTTACGGCAACTTTTGGCACTTTGCTGCCCAAATGCTTTAATGGGTTTAATGGGTTTAATGGGTTTAATGGGTTTGATGAGTTTAATGGCTTTAATGGCTTTAATAGCTTTAATAGCTTTAATAGCTTTAATGGCTTTAATGGCTTTAATGGCTTTAATGGCTATCGTAACTCCGACTTAATCACCGTTATCCTTTTGAAGTGAATCAAAGCTAAGTTTAATCGATTTTTAAAAGCCTTACGGCAACTTTTGGATACGCTAGCTTTTCTAATCTTTTTATTTGTACTATTTTATTTGTCTGTTTTTAATCTAAACCTTTTTAAATCAATTTTTAGAGTTATTTTAATTATATAAGCTTTTTAATAATTAAATTTATCAAAAAAAGCAAAATTCATTCAACTTGTTAGCCATTTCCAGAGTGAATGAATGTTTATAAGAAAAAAGAAAATGAAAATATTAAAAAGCATTTGCATTCTCATTTAAAAAATACCGTAAATATTCTAATAAAAGAGCGTAGTCGAAGTTGATAAGTTTACTCACAAATAAACGCTCATATCTTGACATCAGTACGTTTATTTCTACTCATTTAAGTATCAAATTACAGTACAGAAAATGAGGAATTTTTTCATATATAACAGAGATTTTTAGCTTTGACCAGCACTTAGAAAAACATGATTTGAAAGTGAAAGAAAAAGAGCTGATTTTTGCCGATTTTCAGTCACGTTTTTCTAAGCGCTGGCTAAAGCTAAAAATCTATGTTAGATCTAGAAAAATTACCCATTTTCTCTACTTTAATTTGATACCTAAACGAGGAGAAATAAACGTACTCATGCTGAGATTTAAGCGATTCTTTGAGTGTAAACACTTAAGCGTCGCTTCTTTAGGCTATAGCCATTCTAAAGTCATTTACGGTATTTTTTTTTTGGGGTTTATGTGAGGATTTACAGACCAGAGGGAGAGGGAGAATTTGATGAGGGAAACGATGAAGAAGATTGTGGTGATGTCGATCCACCACCACTTGGTGGTTCATGAGACGAGAGACGAGACACGCGCACAACCTCTTCGCCACCATTAGCTAGCTGCAATGGGATCGATTTCTTTCTTTGGTTCTTTGTTAGTCAAGGATTGATTCATTCAATCATTCAAAAGCTGATTACAAATTCAGATCAGATTTGCAAAGTTTTACTTTGTTTTAAAGTGAAATTTGATCTTTTAAAAGGTTCTAAAATGAAAAACGATCGCAATCTTTGCATTCTATTTTTCTCTACAAAATTCATATGATTTTTATTGAATAAAATTTAAAGAAAGGATTAAAATAGGAAAAAGGAGTTACCGTAAATACTGTAATAGTACCCCACCCCCATAATGACGGTGCGGAGTGTTGCGTAGTCTAGCTTTGTTGTTGTTGTTGTGTAGTCTAGCTTTGAACGAGTGTTTCTTGACACTGGTTTATGCTACAATATCCACTTAGGTATCAAAAAATAGCCCTGAATTTCAGCTATTTTTTGATGCCAAAGATGCATCTTTGAATATACGGGTACGTATGGTCGCTTAGTCGCTAAAGTTTTTAGTATTTCATTTTTTTCAAAGCGCCCGTACTTTCAAAAGATGCGTCTTTGGCATCAAAAAATAGCTGAAATTCAGGGCTATTTTTTGATACCTAAACGGACATTGTAGCATAAACCAGTGTCGAGAAACACTCGTTCAAAGCTAGACTACGCAACGCTCCACACGGTCATTATGGGAGTGGGGTACTATTACAGTATTTACGGTAATTACTTCTTTTGAATATATATTTTTATAAGATATATAATAAAAAATGAAATGCTTATCTCATTGAATCGTGTAATCAATAAGAATTCATTTTATCTAATTCGTCTATTTTAAATTTCTTGTACATACCGTAAATACTGTAATAGTACCCCACCCCCCTCGTACAGTCGCGTAGTCGCAAAAGCTTTTTAATATTTCATTTTTTTTCAAAGCGCCCGTACTTTCAAAAAATGCGTCTTTGGTATCAAAAAATAGCCCTGAATTTCAGCTATTTTTTGATACCTAAGCGCGCATTGTAGCATAAACCAGTGTCGAGAAAAACTCGTTCAAAGCTAGACTACGCAACACTCCGGACCGTCATTATGGCGATGGGGTACTATTACAGTATTTACGGTAATTACTTCTTTTGAATATATATTTTTATAAGATATATAATAAAAAATGAAATGCTTATCTCATTGAATCGTGTAATCAATAAGAATTCATTTTATCTAATTCATCTATTTCAAATTCTAAATTTTCAAATCTTAATGTTATCCTTTAGATTTTGAATTTTTTTTTTTTAAACTACATGCATTTTTCTTCACTACATCAATGTTTTACTTAAAATATGAAAAAAAAAATTAAGTGAAAAGTGCTGGGAAAGAGATTTTTGTGAGCTTTTTCTTTTTCAAGTTTTAGGCGGGAAAAAAAAGAAAATTTACGGTAAAACGATGATAAAATAAAAAAAGAAAATCAAAATGATTATAGGGGGGGGGATTGATATAAGTTAAGATTGAGATAATTGTAGCCATGCACGCACCCGAAGGACCTGTTGAGTGACGGGGGTTAACTTTCGACGACGAACCATTTCTGTGTTGGTCGATGAGCCGGCTTGCTTTGGGTCGACGCTCTCCTCAGCTACTTCGCCTAAACCTATCGATTCCCTCGTTTTCTGATAAAGTTCGCTTTTTCTTCAGCTATTCTGATAGCTTCAGCTTCAGCTTCTTTTGTACATTCAACTAACATGCAATTGGTGAAAGAAGAAATGGTGAAAAAGCTAAAAGGCTTTGCTATTTTTGAGAAATCTTACTATAATAGATGTTTTTAGTGATAACTGTTAGAATAATTGTTGCAATAGCTGGTACAATAGCTGTTGCAATAGCTGCTACAATAGCTGCTACAATAGCTGTTGCAATAGCTGTTACAATAGCTGTTGCAATAGCTGTTACAATAACTATTTGTAGTACTATTAGACCTTTTAGAAAGTCTAGAAAGTCAGAAAGTCAGAAAGTCAGAAACTCCAGAAAGTCATAAATCTTTTTACTTTCACCAAATCTTTGCCAATAAAAAACTAAAAACTAAAAAGTTGGTGGAGCCTTTAAAAAAATCTCAATGCATAACCATTTCTTAAAAAGAAATGAAACAAAAAAAGTTTTAGAAGTGAACAAAAGATTTGAACTCTTCTTTGTTTTCTGTTTTTTCATTAATAAAATTTTAGAAATACACTAGAATTTAAACTTTAGAATATTTACCGTATTTCTTCGAATAGAAGGTCTGGTAAAGAGTATCATCGTGTACTCCTGCGTAGCAGCCCTTTTTAAAATTTCTTTTCTGCATAAAAGCTTTCAATGAAGTGCTATAGGGCTGGAAAATGACTCAAAAATCTGTTAGCTCATGTCGTATTTTTGAGTCATTTTCCAGCTCTATAGCACTTCATTGAAAGCTTTTATGCAGAAAAGAAATTTTAAAAAGGGCTACTACGCAGGAGTACGCGATGATGCTCTTTACCCGGTCTTCTATTCGAAGAAATACGGTAAAATCAAAAAAACCCAAGCCAATCTTTTCATTTCACAAACGAACAAAAAGAATAAAAGAAAATATGAGCAAAAAGAAAAATTTCCGAGCAGTTTCATGTCAGTTTCATGTCAATTTTTTCCTTTTTTCTCTAGCATAACTTATTTTACAAGCTGTATTAGCTGTAAAAGAAAAGAAATTAGAGAAAATACCGAAAGTTGACTATAGAGAGCTGCGTCCTACACGAAAAAAAACACGTTTACTAACATACAAATTTAAAAAATTGTTTGATAGATTTTAAGAATCCCAAGAAAAATCGAGTTTTGAATTGAATTTTGGATAAAATTAATGCACTTTTTATTGGCTACAATGATTGGGATGGTTATTAAATTGTGGAGCTGTTCGTGTTCGTGATATTCGCATCTTGTCTAGATTTAAAGCCACAATTTCGGCAATTGATTTGACTGCTCTGTGATTCTTTCTCTTGAGATATCTTTTTCTCTTTTGGGTTTGTTTTGAGTGGTATCCTGGGTGATGATTGTGATCTTGTTTTGTCGTTATTCAACTCAATAAAGCATATAGATATAAATCATTTCATCTTAATCAAAGAGAATTGGTTGAATACTTTTCTCATACTCCAACTTTCCGTTTCCTCTAAAAGCTAGCACAGTTTCTTTTTTTAAACGAGTTATTAAATTGTGGAGCTTTTTACTCCCTCATGTTCATGATATTCCCATCTTGCTCTTGCCTAGATTTAAAGCCACAAGTCTCTTTTGGGTTTGTATATTCCCATCTTGCTCTTGCCTAGATTTAAAGCCACAAGTCCGGCAATTGATTTGACTGCTCTACGATTCTTTCTCTTGAGGTATCTTTCTCTTTTGGGTTTGTTTTTGAGTGGTGTCCTGGGTGATTATTGTGATCTTGTTTTGTCGCTATTCAACTCAATAAAGCATATATATATATAATAGTTTTTTTTATAATAAATTCAAAAAATGAACTCGATTTTCCTTGTTTTATGTGAAAAGAAGCATTAAAAGTGGCAGATTTCACTAAAAAAAAATGATGTTACCTGGGATTTTTCCGTGACTTTTTAAAAGTTTAATGAGCGTTTTCATATCTTCGCGCATCTCGCGTTTCATTTCATCCAAAGATCTAGAAATGTACTCGTTAAACGTCTAGATTTCTTGGGTTTCTTAAAATTAGATAATCTTAGAGTAATTTGGATATTCTTTTTTTAGTAAACTTACTTTTCAACAGCGCACATTCGTTGAGTGATCTGCGCAAGATTTTCCGTGTCATCGCTTTCTCGCCCTAGATTTTTCTTGATTTACATTGATTACAAATTAATTTTAAATGTAAACATAAATATAAATATAAATATAAATTTAAATATAAATATTAATTATACAATTAATTAACTTCATTTGATTCTTCATTGATCTTCATTAATTAACACTTACAGTTAATTAACAATTAACAACTACAGTTAATTAACAATTAACAACTACAGTTAATTAACAATTAACAACTACAGTTAATTAACAATTAACAACTACAGTTAATTAACAATTAACAACTACAGTTAATTAACAATTAACACTTACAGTTAATTAACAATTAACTCAAAATTTCTAGTTTCTAGAAAAAGAAATATGAAATGAAATACCATTTGCCCGAATTGGTGCCGTTGCTGGGGAAAGCGCGTGCACGGTCGGTGATACAGTGACTGTATGACGCGAAAAAGCTCGTATATCCTAAAACCATCTTTACACTATTCCCATAAACGTTAAGAATTCAGAATTTCAATGTAAAAATTGAATTTAAAAACCTCAAAAGCCTCATCTTGTTCGATAGGAGCTTGATGTGAGCGCCGTAACAATGGGGCCGCTTCTGCCGGTGGTGAAGCTCTCGAAGAACCGGGGACTAAAGAATAAATCTACAATAAGTCGACAATCTACAATAAGTCGACAATCTACAATAAGTCGACAATCGACAATATTATATAATCAAAAAAGCCTGCTATAACCAAATTATACAATATGTAGTCTATATTTGGTCTAGATTTAGTCTATCTTTAGTCTATCTTTAGTCTATCTTTAGTCTATCTTTAGTCTATCTTTAGTCTATCTTTAGTCTATCTTTAGTCTATCTTTAGTCTATCTTTAGTCTATATTTCGTCAATCTTCTTACTCGACATCCTCCTCTCATCACTTCCTCTTGACTCAGCTCCACTTCGTCGCCTTTTATCAAGCACTTCTAAAAATTTACATAAAGAATAGTCAAGTTTTTGTCGCTGTTTTGAAAAGCATTTTACTATTTACAAAAGCTATTTTTCGTTAAAACAGATAAACAAAGGAGAAATTTGACTCTTTGCACCAACATTTCAGCTTTTGTTTTTATGCTCAACTCAAAGAAACCAGCGTGTCGAAAAATGACGAGATTTCAAAGCGAATTTACGAAAATTACACCAAAGCTCACAATGGTACAATTTAAAAACCCAAAAACTTTCAACAAAATGTGTAAAGCTTAAAGATATTGTAAAGCTTTGATTTCATTAGCAATTTATTGTTTGCAGTACTCCAGAATGAGTATTCAATCAATAAATTGCTTTATCTGGGTGTCTTTTTTTCTTTTTTTCCTTTTACAGCATCTTTAAATTTAGATTTATCGTATTATCCCTTGAATCGTGTTATCCTTGAACACTCTGGCACAAAGAAAGAGGAACAAAGAAAGAGAAAGAGCACATGCCTGCTTGGGTCACATCGGGAAGGCCTGAGTTGGGAAGTCGAAAAAGTGGCGAGGATGAGAATGGAGCCAATGGTGAAGAGGTGCTTGGACCGGCAGCGAATGGCGCAATTGGTGATGATGGAGTGTGAAAGGCCGAGATTGTTGACATAGGACGCGGTGATCGACATCGAGAGTCTGTGTTTTGACAATAAGCATTTAATTAGTTTCTCAAGTTTCTTTTAAAAACAACAGGGTTCTCTTTTTCGATTATCAAAGACATCAAGACATCAAGATTTTAGAGAAAACTCGGTCATTTTGTGTGTTAGTTGCAAAAAATTGAGCACGAGATTATCAAATTCACCATGCACTGTGCGTTTTTTTGTGAGAAAGCGGCACACTGAAAAATCGATCGATTTAGGATCTGGAAACTAGCGCAAAAACGTCAGCTTAAAATTCTAAGGGATATTTTTTCCGTTTTACTCAATATCATCCAGTTTTCGAGAAAAATCCTTTGAAAGCTTGGAAAAAGAACCAATTTTGAGTATTATGGAACCAAATTTTGAGTAATATGGAACCAAATTTAGAGAGATAAGGAACCAGATTTAGGGAGATAAGGAACTAGATTTAGAGAGATAAGGAACCAAATTTAGAAAGATAAGAAACCAGATTTAGAGAGATAAGGAACCAAATTTAGAAAGATAAGGAACCAAATTTAGAGAGATAAGGAACCAGATTTAGGGAGATAAGGAACCCAATTCGTAAAGATAAGGAACCAAATTTAGACTGATATAATGCCGAAATACTTTCCACTCTCGAGTGACCGGATGGTATCGTGGGTAGTCTGGTCGTCCCTCGCCTGCCACCCTGTCTCGCCCCTCCCTGATTCGAATCCCCTCCTTGTCAAACACCTTTTTTTTGTTTTTAAAGCACTTAAGCTAATTTTAAAGTGTTTATATACAATAAGAAGCTAAGTAGCGCCCTTGGAAATGGCTCTTCAGGCCCTCCTTGAAAATGTACCGTACGAAAATGAAAATCTGAAGCTTTTCTTGAGGCATCGGAAACTTTTGAAACATCCCTTAGAATTTCAAGATGACTTTTTGCTAGGTTCCATATTCGAAATCGATGCTAGATTAGAGTAGTTCCCTAGTAAGCGTTAGAAGTGCTCGCTTTTCTTGAGGCATTGAAAACTTTTTTGAGGCATACCACTATCCCGTTCAACACCCGAGAATCGATCTTTATTCAGTGATGAGCTCATTCGAAGGAGTTTGTGCTTGTCAAAGCGTTTTTTCATCGACTGTTCTTCGTCCCTAGAATATTAAACTATTAAAAAAGAAAATCGTTGACTTTAGAAACCTCAAATTGCAACTGATCTGAAGATTCTTGCAAAAGTTCTCAGCGAATTCCGGGTACATTTCGAGTACATCGAGGAGATCTTCACGAAGGATTTTGTGAAGATCACAATAGGTGAGTGCTCGCACATTACTCGATGATTTCCCAACGTCTTCGTGGAGTAAAGGATTCTCTCCAAAAATGTCATCTTTTCCTAGACAAAGACTTGTTTTTTTTGAAGAAATTTCCTTTATAAACCAAGTATCGCCATCACGGTGTTGTCATCTTTGAGAATTTCCACCGATCCTCTTGCAATGAAATGTAGTCCGGTGAGAATGTCGCCTCGATGAACGAGTGTGTCGCCAGGTGGAGCGTGCGTCATTCGAAATCTGCAATTTGTTGGAAAATAGCTTGAATAGCTGGAAAATAGCTTGAAATAGCTGGAAAATAGCTGGAAAATAGCTTGAAATTTGCAACGATTTTACCTCATTGAAAGAGCTCGCAGACATCCGGGTGATGTGCCGGCAAAAGCTGCCGAATTGCTGAGGAGATTCCGGTTTAAATGAAGGCAAATATCAGCTTGTAAGCAATCAGGAAAGCCTTTTAATACCTAAATTTTCGTCAAATTAAACTTTCAAATCAATTGGTAGGCTAAAATGGCTAAAATGGCTACAATGATGAAAATCGATTAGCTCAAATTGATTAGCTCAAATTGATTAGCTCAAATGTTTAGCTCAAATCGTTTAGCTCAAATCGTTTAGCTCAAATCTAGCTCAAATCATTTCGCCGACCACGACGCACTCACCGCACTCATGTCAATGCCATTTGTGTAACTCCACGCATGTTGTAGGTACTCTTCAAGTCGCTGTCTTAAAGGATTCGGTATTTGATGAAAGCGAATAAATTCTCTCAATCGTGACATCTCTGTGTGATATCTGGAAATCATTTTTTTTCTTTGTCTTATCCTTCATTTTCTCACCTAGCCGTTCCACTGTACAATCGTTGTATGATCGCTGAAACATTACCGAAAACTGACGCATACATTAGAGCTGAAATTTTATCAGATTTTCAGCTTTCATTTCTCAAATCATTACATCCTAATATCATCATGATGATTGTGAAAATCTTTTCCGAATCTGTGGTCGCAGAAACATTTCCAAAGCCGATTGAAGTGATTGTTGATAGAGTGAAGTATAAAGATGTTACATAACGACTCTGAAAGAATAAAAGGCTAAAAATTTTGGGTACTTTTCCAATATCGGGGAAACGAAATGAAAATCAGAGGAGCAAATTTTGTCCCCACGAAAAATGCATTTCCAGAAGTGTATTTTAACTGCAACGCTTTTTTAAACTTTAACGACGATGCGCTTCTCCGACATTTGTGCATTTAAGGAATCGACGGCAATCGATTATTTCATCCACCAAAGGAGTCATCCAGTCGTGGATTTGCAACTGTGGTGAATTGATGAAAGTCCGCTCAAAGGGAAAACATCTATTTCGCTGGGTATTTTAAGTCACTTTTGTGATCTAATATAAAAGTTGTGAGAATAACGGGTAATTCACGAATTTTATGGTCGTAATTTGTATAATATAGGACATATGTAGCGCTGGCAAAATTTGCTCCCCTGATTTTCATTTCGCTCCCCCGATAATCGGACCGCTCCCCCGATATTGGAAAAGTACCAAATTTTGTACTAAATAAATGCAAATAAAGCAAATTCTCTTATACGATTATTATTATAACAATAAAATTTCTCTCAAATTCTCTCAAAATTCTCTCAAAAAAGTCACTCGTAAAGATGGTCCTCCGACAGGCACCGTGCCATTTGTACTCGTATAAGGCTCCTTGAGATGATTGGCTAAAATTTACAAAATATATCCATTTTATTTATGAAATTCTTCAATTATAGAATCTATATTATTAATATTGTTAGAAGATATTTGAAAATTACAGAAAAAAACGAACATAAGTGATGCAACCATGTGATTTCCTTGTGTGCTAGCTCGTGGCTTCCTATCGCATACCTAAAAAAGATTTTAGAATACTAATATAAAACTCTAATTTGTTATTTGTTATTTTATATGTATATTTTTTTTTTTTTTTTTTTTTTTTTTTTTTTTTTTTTTTTTTTTTTTTTTTTTTTTTTTTTTTTTTTTTTTCTTTTTTTTTTTTTTTTTTTTTTTTTTTTTTTTTTTTTTTTTTTTTTTATTTAAAATTTTTTTTTTTTTTTTATTATATTATATAAATTATATATTTTTTTTTTTTTTTTTTTCTTTTTTTTTTTTTTTTTCTTTTATTTTTTTTTTTTTTTTTTTTTTTTTTTAATTTTTAAAAAAAAAAAAAAAAAAAAAAATAAATTTAAATAAATTATTTTTTTAAATTTTTTTAAAAAAAAAAAAAATAAAAAAAAAAATAAAAAAAAAAAATAAAAAAATTTTTTTTATATTTTTTTTTTTAGCGCACTAAAAAAATTGTAAAAAAAATAGAAGAAAAAAAAAAAAAAAAAAAAAAATATATATATATATGACGCAGCCGCTCGTGATTTTCAGCCGCTAGTGATTGAATCACCAACGACTGGCAGCTAATGATTGAATCACCAACGACTGGCAGCTAGTGATTGAATCATCATCGACTAGCCGCTAGTGATTGAATCATCATCGACTAGCCGCTAGTGATTCAATCACCATCGGCTAGTCGATGGTGTTTGAAAATGCAATGCAGATTTATCTCACATGCAAATAAAAAAATTAGCTTAATCGAACCAAATATTTTAGCACCTCGGGAGGTAACTTCTGTTGCCAAATTCGAAAAATTATGTCATCGTATTGATGAGAAAATTTGTCAACACCATCGACTAGCCGTTGGTGATTCAATCACTAGCTGCCAGTCGTTGATGATTGAATCACTAGCGGCTGAAAGCCACGAGCGGCTGCGACATATAAATATTTAATCATGTTTAAAACTCACCAAATACAAGCAAGCCAATGGGCAATGAGAGCAAAAGTGGCCATAAGGAGTAGAAGAACTGCCGCTCCATACTCCGAATATCTAAAGATCAGAAAAGTTATAGGATTATTAGGATTAGGATTTGGATTAGGATAAAATATTATTTACAGAATTATTTACAAAAGTATCTACACACCAGCAAAGCACTTGTTTATAGTTTCCTTGATTGTAACTGCAGAAATACCTGTCTAATTTCCTTGCTACCCGTACAAGACGCAATAAGCGAGCCGTTTTAAGCAACCCGATCAAAGTGGTCGTCTAGAAATTGATTTAGAAGAAAGAGTAGAAGAAAGAAAATGAAAATGAAAATGAATCAATGAAAATGAATCAATAAAAAAGTTAAACCTCATCCGAGTTTGTGTTTACGAGAAGAAGATCAAAGGGAACGGCGGCGATCATGTCGATCACAAACCATCCTTTAAAGTAGTGAATAGCGATTTTGCCCGGATGAGAGACCACCTGAAATTAAGTTCAAATCGAATATTGAAATATCGAAATCGTATTCAAATCAAGCTCTCAAGCAATGAGTGAAAATCTCCGAGATTTTAGACTTCAAAAAATCATGTCGATCTCATCAGAGACTTCAAAGAACTCTAGTCAGTTTGAAACGATTTTACAATTGTTGATCGTTGATCGTTAATGCAATTTTGTACTACCTCATCATTTTCATTGACATAAGTGGTTCGAAAATTGATGATAATATCGACGATGAACATAATATCGACAATGAGATCGACGATCTCCAATGGTTCCGAAAGTCGCGTCCGTCGATTCGTATCTGCCATCTAAATTCTCAAGATACTAAAACTCGAAATTCTCTATATTAAGCTTTAACAAGGCTATACTTATTTGTACTTACCGTAAATACTGTAATAGTACCCCAACCTCCCCTCGTACAGTCGCGTAGTCGCAAAAGTTTTTTAGTATTTCATTTTAGTATTTTTTCAAAGCGCCTATACTTTGAAAAAAATGCGTCTTTGGTATCAAAAAATAGCTGAAATTCAGGGCTATTTTTTGATAATTGTATTGCTATTGTAGCATAAACCAGTGTCGAGAAAAACTCGTTCAAAGCTAGACTACGCAACACTCCGCACCGTCATTATGGGGGTGGGAGTACTATTAAAGTATTTACGGTAGAGAATTTGTATTTAATCTTTACCTCTCTGAGAAGAAAAGCTGCCACATAGGGGGTGAAGATAGCTGTGTAGATGACAAGTAACAAAATGACCCAATCCCATACTGCCTACAAAAAAAAACATTTACATCTTTGAATTCAAGAGTTAAAAATAGAACTACATGAAAGAGCAAAGGCTGAGATTGTGACTAAGCACGAGATTTCTTTGAATTAAAAAAATTGAAGCTGAAAATTACGGTGAGAAGGAATTCTAGCCGTTTTTTGCAGAAGTTAAAGAAATAAAGAGAAATAAAGAGATAAAGATATATTCTTTATATCTCTTTACCTCTTTATCAATCAGGAACTCAAAAGAAGAACACCGGAGATAAAGAAATAAAGAGATATTCTTTATATCTCTTTATCTCTTTATCTCTTTAACTTTATATTCTTTATATCTCTTTATCTCTTTATCTCTTTAACTTCTGCGAAAATTCGGCGGTCACAGTTTTCCCATTGTAAAACTCATTCAAAAGAAGTTAAAGACAAGGCTTAAAAGATAGGAAAAATTAAAGACATCAAAAAAACTCACTTTAAATGGTGAATAGTGAACGATGGTGCAGTGATGTATTCGAGTTGGTTGCAGCTTGTATTCAGGCAGCACATCAGCCCCCAATGACAATACCTAAAAAGTTTTCGTTAAAGTTTTTATGATCATTAGTTATATTTTTTAGATTTCTTTGTTGAAAACTCTCGATTCTATTCAATTGTTAATCTTTTTTGTTTTAAGAAAACCAAGAATTGTTCAAGAAATCAAGAATAAGATTTGAATTCTCTTTCTCGAAGAGACTCTAAGCAAGTAATTACCCATTTCCCCACACGTACAAATGACAATATCGATTTTACACAATTGAAAACTCTCTTCTACCTGACTTGCATTGATTCGTGGTGCATTTAAAACAATAAGATTATGTCTAGATCGAGGCGCTCCATTTGTTGACTTGGAGCTTTTTTGAACGTTTATAGAGGTGGTCCTTGGCGCCGTCCATTCACTCGCTGGTCGCACGTCGATCAATGATTGGGCTCGACTCGGCACCACCTCGCTATTCTCCAAACTCAGCTCCAGCTTTGATCAGCTAGCCTGCTTTCTCTAATCATATAGAGAGTCAGAAAATTGCGAGACGATCTAGGAATATCAGCTGAAGAAGACGAAGAAGGAGAGGTGAGGCGAGTGTTTTTGAAGGGCGGCTCTTCGCAATCGATCCCCGACAGTTTCCCAGAGCAATTATGGGTCCACAGGTGTGTCTGTGTCTCTAGCTTCTCCCAACCAATTTTTCAAGCCACTTTGCCCAGACTAATTAAAACAAAAGTCTTTTTGTTGGGACCTTTTCAGCAATGATGAAAGTTTTCGGGAGAAAGCAAACCTTGTAGGATCCATTTTGAAGAACGACCATAAGATGTTTAGGAAGTGTGGGTGCCATTGCATAGCTTTAGTTTCAGACTACGAAATCAGACTACGAAATCTGAGGGGAAAAGATAGCATGTGCAGTTGGGGTAAAGATTCAAATAAGCTCATGGGGGAAAGATTTGAAAGATGAATGATTTGAAAGAGTAAAGCGCTTGAGTTATGAAAAAGATTGATATCAGATATTTAATCTGCAAGCATTTATCGATGTGAGAAGAGATGTTGGATGGGATGGAGGGAACGCTTCTCACTCTTCTCACTCTTCTCACTCTTCTCACTCTTCTCCCTTTACTCATTCGAGTTAAAACATGGCTCAAGACGAAAAGACGAAAAGAAAGATCAAGTGAAAGCGCGGAAAAAGGGATTCTCGGGGCTTTTCTTGCGTGTTTTTAGAGCTTTACTTTAGAAAAGATAGACACAGATAGCTGAATGAAGTGGATGACGAGTAGCTGCATTCATCAACCCTGCGAGAGCGAGAATTCTATGGGAAAAAGATGGGAAGAAGATGGGAAAATCTAAGAAATTCAAGTCTTAGCAGACTTAACAAAATGATGATGATGATGGGAAATAATTAATCAAAAAGCAAGCGAGCTGAATTTCTCAAATTTCTTTCATTCATCAATTCTCTATGAAAAAAAAAGAGGTTAGATTTTCTTATTCTGAGGCTTCTCTGAAGCTAATTTCATTAGCCATCACAGCTCTTAAATTATAATAAATAGAGCTTTTCAAGCTTACCTTACAAGCTTTTCCTTACAAGCTTTTCATTTTGGAAAAGTTTTTTTATTTAAATATTGAAAGAAAAGGACACAGAAAAACCCGTCATTTAGAAAAGAGGGAAATTTTTAAAAAAAAAAAGAGATAAGATGGACGAGTTCTTTGGAGACATATGATGGATATGATGGTTTTCAGTCTAGATTAAGGTATTCAGTCTCGATTAGGCTATTCAGTCTAGATTAAGATATTCATTCTAGGCTAGCTGGGTTCCGGTTCTCAGCTTAGATTTGGTATTCAATCTAGATTAGCTCGATTACGGTATTCAACTTAGATTTGGTTCTTCAAATTGAGCCATATTTCCCCTTCCTTACAAGTTTACAACCTTCCTTACAAGCTTTTCATTTTGGAAAAGTTTTTTTATTTAAATATTGAAAGAAAAGGACACAGAAAAACCCGTCATTTAGAAAAGAGGGAAATTTTAAGAAAGAGATAAGATGGACGAGTTCTTTGGGGACATATGATGGATACCCCATGAAAATGTCTCTCAAAAATTTGAAAATTCTAGAATTTCTTTAAAAAAAAAGAAACTTGTCTCCAAGAGTTTTGTTGATGGGAAAGTCTCAAGAAATGTTGAAAAAAGATCTTTAAAAATTGTTCTTTTTTTGTTTAGTAGAGCTGATTGGAGAGTTTCTCTATCTGAATATAGATGTCCACTGAACATGCAAATGAGGCAGTTGAATCAAAAAAAAGAAAGAAGAAAAAGAAGAAGAAAAAGAAGAGCTAAAGAAATTGGAAGGAAAAAAAGGAAACAAATTCCACAAGAGCACCCAACGAAGATCGATCCTATAATTATCGTTTGTGAGGGGGAGAAAGAAGAAGGTTTAAGAAGAGAAATTTCTTCTTAAACACTTCCCTCGATGACACTCAATTCTTTCTACCCTATTTCTGCTTCAATAATTAGATTCAATAATTAGATTCAATAATTAAATTCAATAATTAGATTCAATAATTAGAAAACACATTTGAAAAGATCAATGAAATGAAATGCAAAATAAAATATTCTCTCTAATAGTAGTGCGCACTACTATTTTTTGAACCCCCTCCTGGACCGCAATACTATTAGAGAGTGCAGTACTATTAAAGAGTTTTATCATTTACCAAAGTAAGACAGATATAAACTTTATTCCAAAAATTCTTGCAATTCTTTCACGTACTCCTTTGGCTCCTTTTGACATACAGTTGTGGGCCGGCGAGTTGACAATTTGTGTCTTGACAAACAACATTTGTGTCTTGACAAACAAAAAAAGAGGTGTTTTTGCACTTTGCACAACAATTTTAGATTTTTTGCTAACTTTTTAGTTAGCAACTTTCTGCTAACTAATAAATGAATAAAAAAAGCCTCACTTTTGCTTGCTTGAATAGCTTTAGAATGTCACATAAACATAAAGTCAAAAAGGTTTAGATGAAAAAGAAGCAAACAGAAATTCAAATTTTCGAGGGTGCACTACTGTTTTTTGAATCCCCTCCTGGACCGCAATACTATCTAACTATACATTAGAGAGTGCAATACTATTAGAGAGTGCACCTCTATTAGAGAGAATACGGTATAAGATTTAAATTAGCATACAACGTTGAGCTTTGCTCCAGCTTTTGCATCTTGAACAAGAAGATTTCGCATAAGTAATGCCGGCGTTCCATTCATTGTCAATTTTCGTATTGTTGACTCCATGAGAAAGTTAGAATTTCGAATAGCAATAATAATATTCGTCTTTCTAATTGCTCTCAAACTTTGCCGTCAAATTCTCCCGTCAAACTCTCGAACTTCAACTCTCCCAACGAACACAATAGAAAATTGGCGGAGAATCAAAGGTGAAGGGGACAAAATTGGTCTATGAATCTCTGAACGACTTGGTGACTAGCCCATTTTAGAGGCTTAATCATCTTTAGAGTAAAGAAAAGAATTGAAAAGTTTAGCCCAAAAAGCTTAGCCCAAAAAGCTTAGCGAAAATAACACGGAAATAGGACGCTGGAATTTGATATCGCATTTGATGGCATCATCGATATATCACGATTCTTGCGATTTCTTTTATTTCTCTTATAATAGCACTCCTTTCAAAACAATTTTGACAAAGAACAAAAAGGGATTTTCGCTTGAAAATCCAGTCAACCTTGTCAAATAAGGAAAAGATTTGGGGGAGAAGGGGAAAAGATCGGGAAATTGTTTAGAGTTGCTTCGAATTGTTTAGAGAAAACGAGTAAACGAAAATTTGAGTAATGCTTTGAATTTTTTTAAGGATTTCATGCTACCTGTGACGTTGGAAATGGATAAACGCCTGAATATTAAATAAATAAATAAATGAGAACAAGTTGGATTGGGTTTAAATCGATTTTTTTAAAAATTTAAAAGCTTTAAAAGCAATACCGTGAATTTGCGTACAGCATGTCTTTGGTGATGTGAAGCTGGCTGACTCAGTGAGACTGTGGCCACGTTTTGGCCATGACGACGAATTACAGCCGATGCCATTATCGGCCATTCTTTCTCACGGAAAGTTTTTCCATCAAATAAAGTGATAAACGTTTTCTTATCACTTCCAGTTTTTTTTTGAGTTTTCTAGAAATAGAAAAAGATAAGGTAAAAGCTTTTGATTTTTAGCTAAAGCTAAAGCTAGCTTTTTAGCTGATTTTTAGCTAAAGCTAAAGCTTTTTCAAGTCTTAATTAAACGCAACAAAATAGAAAAAGAGAAGAGAAAGAGAAGAAGAGAAAGAAGTAAAGAAAGAAAAGGATCAATTGCTTGAATTATTGGAGAATGAGGATTCAAGCTAAAGTTTTCTCGAAGCGGAATGACCGAGGGTCATTCCGCTTGGCATCTTTCAGTCTTTGAGCCGTCTTTTCTTAAGCCAATGATAGTAAAAAGAAAGAGAGAGAAAGAAAGAGAGAAAGAGAGAGAAAGAGAGAGAAAGAGAGAGAAAGAGAGAGAAAGAGAGAGAAAGAGAAAGAGAGTCAAGTCTATGGGTCTTGTGAGAATTGGATTTCTCGACAGATGGCGCTCACAGAGCCTCAAAAAGCTGTATTTAGGGACATGTGTCCAACTACACCTTTCTTTTCCGCTTCCGATCTGGATCCTATCTCAAATCTTACTCATTCTTTTTGACTAAATCGACTTTTAAACATTAGACAAAGAATCAAGGAATTTGTAAAGTAAAGTAAAGAAAATTTCTATGCTTTTTTTTGCTTGCTGACATTAAAAGACATCAAAAGAACTTCCGTGTCAAAAGAAAAACTCAAAAATGGCTTGACTCAACAAAAATAATCTTTTCAAAACAGAATTGCCTATCTGTTCAATGTTTTAACAAGACAAGATAAAAAACAAGATAAAATAAAAATGAATGAAGTGATATGAGCTCTAGGATGAAAAAAAAAGAAAAAGAAATGGGGTGAGAAAGAAAAGAAAAGAAGAGAAAGGAGCCTTGCTTTCTTGTGAGAAGCCCGGGATTGCCTCAAGAAGAAGGACACCGAATTGGCCGAAGACGTATAATTTGACGGTGCTCGTCACACATTTCAAACCCCCCCGCTAGAGCCTTTACTGAAATCAATGAAGCTATGGAAGGAGACTTTTCAGCTTTCCATCTAATTAGACTTTCTCTTTCAAAATAAAAAAAGCTTTTCTTTTTTTGAAATCAAGCAAGTTGAAAGCTTAAATTTGAACTGAATTACTTTTTCTGTTTGTACTTGATTTAAATACTTGTATTGATTTAAATCAAGTACAAACAAGTACATGTACAAACAAGTACATATACAAACAAGTACATGTTTGTACTTGTACTTTTAAATGATATGTATGATTAAATGATAATTAAATGATATGATATCCATCTTTACCTTCATTTAAATCATCTGGTTACCTGGCAATCTGGCTACCTCAGCTTATTATAACTTTAGAAAAGAAAAAGAAAACGGAATTGAATGGCAAATGGGTAGTTAAACAACAACAAAAAAACGAAGAATTTGATGTCAGAAAAGAGAGAATTGAGGGGAACATTTTTGGCTAACAAACCCTCATAAACATGCCACAAAAATGGGCACACTAAAATAGAGTAGAAAAAGTTGCCTAGAGGGTTGGTTTGAGTCAAAAATGGTTGAAGGGGGAGAGAGTGGAGTGAAGAGAGAAGTGAAGAGTGGGGTGAAGAGAGAAGTCTCTCTCCCTTTAGCCACCAATAAATCACCGTCCCGACCACAACCAACCTCAACCACAAACACCCAATAGAGAAAAAAGAAAATTCTTTCAAAATCAGCTTCTTATTAGCTTAGCTTGTTAGCCTATTAGCTTAGCCTATTAGCTTAGCTTATTAGCTTAGCTTATTAGCTTAGCTTATTAGCTTAGCTTATTAGCTTAGCTTATTAGCTTAGCTTATTAGCTTAGCTTATTAGCTTAGCTTATTAGCTTAGCCTATTAGCTTAGCCTATTAGCTTAGCCTATTAGCTTAGCTTAGCTTATTAGCTTATTAGCATCAAACAAGCTAGATTTGCAATCATCATTTGATGGCTTCAATTGAAAAGAAAATTAAGTTATAAATAGATTTAAATTGGATAGGTAAAATAGTGGATTTTCTTAAATATAAGCAAAAATGAAAACCTTTTAAAATTTCAATAAGCAAAAAAAACTTTAGCATTGCATTGCTGTGACAATTTGCTGGGACACATGTCCCTAAATACAGAGTTTCTAAGTCTCGAGTTGTCAATCAAACGGCTCAAAGAAGTAAAAGAGAGATAAAAGAGAGATTCTATGTTTCTTAAATCTATCAAAATATCAAAAGTCTGCTTTTTTTCTCAAACTATGCTGCGAATCTTTTGAGTTTTTGACTAGGAGTTTCATTAAACGAAAAAAAAACGATTCTCTAGAGCCAAAAAAAGTCCAAAGCATTTGAAAAAGTCAAAAAAATAGTAATTAGTCGTCATGCTTTAACCATCATACGATGGTTAAAGGTTCTTACTCAAGAAAAATGACTAAAAGAATGAAATAGTCATTATGAATCCAACATTATGAATTAATCCAACAAATTGAGCTTTTATTTTAAATGTTCGTTGGGCAAGAAAAAGGGAAAAAGAAAGAAAAAAAAAGATGAAATACTATACATTGTGGGCAAGTCGACACTCTAGCCCTCAGAGCGACCTCATCCCTATTTTCTCTCTCATCTTTTATTCACTATTTTCTTGAATTACTCTCCCCTCATTTTTTTACCTGTGAAATCACTCAGAGTCACCGAAATGTCAATTCGAGGATTTTGAGGTGCAGAAATGGGAATGTTATGCATGCAATAGTGCTATTTTTTGCGTAAAGTCATTAGCAATATGTGGAAGAGTGACAATTGCATATGCATAAAATGAATCTTTGAATGAAATGAATTAGAATTAGAATTAGAATTAGAAAACATTAGAATTAGAATTAGAATTAGAAACAGAAACAGAAACAGAAACAATATCAAAATTTGACTTACAATCAGAATCCTGAAAAAGTCAAATTTGAGACTTTTAACGTTAACTTTTAACGTTTTTACAAAAAAGCCTCAGACTTTTTCACAGGAATTTACAAAAAGCCTCAGACTTTACAAAAAGATACAGATTTTCTTTCGACTCACCGCAGCGAATGGAACTGGATCAGCAGTCAGTGATGGTATAGCCATTGACATGCGCCGAACAAATGTCGAGGCGCGTCGACTGTTCGGTGTTCGTCGATGCGTCGATGGTAGCGAGAGAGTAGTGACGTGTAATGGCCCGATTGGTGCCCGTTTCCCTTCACTTTTTTGCTCGTCATCCTGTTCAGGCACTACGAGTGTCACTCTCCCATTGGGCAATGAGGCTCGCTCACGGCGCTCACCGGGCACCACCGGTGGCGACGGGGCAACTCCCGAGCCGCTCGACGATGAACTGGCCACCGTGACTCGCACTTGTTGCTTTATTTTTCACGTAAATTTTCTCTAGCTAGCAAATTTCTGGTTTTCGAGAATGTTTCAAGAATGGAGCAGGGGTTTTCAACCGTTCATTGGCTTTCTAAACAAATTAGGTTATAATGGAAGGAATGTTGAATAATGAAAGAAGAAAAAGAAGGAAAAGAAGAAGAAGAATGATTATTTAGAAGATTGAAAAAAAGCCTCAAGTTTCAAGGGTGATATCTAGAAAAGGAAAGCCCATTGGGCGAGTCGAATGGCTCCCCACGCGCCGGTCGGCCGCTTTCTCTCCTCTAAATATCAAATGCATACCCCTTCTCCTCGAAACACTTCCCATTCATTGAGACTTTTTGAATTTTTCAGTAAAAATTGCGAATATTCTGGGCATTAATCTTAAACAGTCAGAGTTTAAACAAGTTTAAAAACTTTCTGAATAGCTTTTTAATGTAAAAAAAAAGTCTTTAGTGACGACGACGACTAATTTAAAAAGACATTGAAGCTGAAATGAGTCCAAATATTGGTCTTTTATAAACAAATTTTCTTTTCTTTTCCCACACTCGTTTGTTTCCAAAAACTTTTCCGCAAAGAAAGCACTTGTTGAAAACAATGAGGGAACCCTAAAAACTAAAAAACTAAAAAAACGAAAACGATAGCTTCAAACTAATTTTTCTTTAGAAGACAAATCGAAAAGAAAGAAAGAAAGAGCTAAAGAAATAAAATAACTGACAATAACTATTAAGGCAGTGTTGAGAGGAGAGGAATTTCGCAGTTGTTATGGATGAGAGGAGTTTCTTTTTGTGGCTCATCTCAAGATCCGAAGGGGAAAGGGGACTCCTCCCCATCTCCCCTAGAAGTTCTTGTGTGCCCCATATGCGGAGAGGTGAAGTGCGCGCAAGATGCGGGCAAGGAGCAGGCACCGTGATTCAATTTGCGACACCTTGTGCTCTTGAAGGGGATGGGAAGCTAAAGAAAGAAAGGAAAGAAAGAAAAGAAAGCTAGAGAAAGGCCTAGCTCTTGTCCCCTTTTTTCTTCTCTTCGATTCACGTTGATCCCGGCAAAGTCGAAGAAATGAAGGCGGTAGAATCGAAAATGAATCTCTTGGATGTCTTGGAGCTCTTGGATGTCTTGGAGCCTTGGATCTCTTGGATCTCTTGGAGAGCCCTTTGTCTCTCTCTCAGCCATCGAACTTTTCTTGGTGTTCTCTACTTTCTTTATTTCTATGAAGGCTAAACTTTCAAGAATAGATAAAAAATGAGTTTTCTCAAAAGTTAGAACAAAAATCTTAACCAACAAATAAACAAATTGCTGGAGATTTGCCAGATGGCTGTCTTGTAATATTCATGTATCAGATTTCACCCTCCCCTTTTTCTAAAAATCTATTCCCATCCAACTGTTACTCACCTAGGGATTTCAAGTAAATAACTAACAAGTAAATAACTAACAAGAAAATAGCTAACAAGTAAATAACTAACAAGAAAATGTTTAAATTTAAAGGATTGGTGATTAACTGTGAAAAATAGATTTGTGAAAAGAGAGAAAGGGAACGGAGGCGTGTACCTAATTATTATTTCTTTTTTTTGTCTAAACTTGAAAACGGTTGAAAACACAAATTTATCGAATCGATACATTCTTGAAAATTCTTGAAATAAGAAAATTTGCGGCTAATTTAGAGAGGTGCTTGTCCCGTTGCCACCGGTTTTTGTGCAAGATTTTCAATTCCTCTGAGAGATAGGCACAATTTCAATGTATAAAAGTTAGTTAATGTATTAGGTTGATGCAAAAGTCTTTTTCATTTTTTTCGTACTTCCGTTAAAAAGTAACAAATGCACCAATTGAACAACGGTTTATTGCTTTCGAAAGGCCAATTATTTTTCTGCAAAATGACATTAAAACGAGTTTAAAATGTTTTATGTCTAGATTTTTTTGAGAGCCTGAAGTCGGGTAGTCAAAAAAGGCGACGGCTCGATGATGCATTTTAGACGCTTTAGCTAAGGAAACCAATCTTGATGTTAATAAATAAAAGATAGAGCACAAAAATTAGATATTTTTCAGATTTTCAGAGAAATTGTTCAGCCATTCTTTTGAGGTTTTTATAGTTTTTATGAAAAACCCGTTTTCACTCTCGATTTGCTTGAAAGTGAACCCAAATTGACTTAAAAAGATGGGAAATTGAACAATAAACACTTTTCATTTAGAGCAAACCATAGGTTAATTGATGACTTTGTTATTTTTCAAAAGAAGTACGAAAAAAATGAAAAAGACTTTTGCATCAACCTAATAATAATCATAAATTAGATTTTAGATTTAGAAGTGTTTAGAAGTGTATAGTCATAAGTTTATCATAAATTAACCATAACTTTAGATCTAGAAGTGTGTAATCATAAGTTTATCATTACTTTATCATAACTTAAGCATAACTTCATCATAACTTAAGCATAACTTAAGCATAACTTAACCATAACTTTAGATCTAGAAGTGTGTAATCATAACTTAATTATAACTTTATCATAACTTTATCATAACTTTATCATAACTAATCTTAACTTTAGATCTAGAAGTGTGTAATCATAACTTTATCATAACTAAATGATAACTTAATCATAACTTAATCATAACTTTAGATCTAGAAGTGTATAATCATAACTTAATTATAACTTTATCATAACTTTATCATAACTAATCTTAACTTTAGATCTAGAAGTGTATAATCATACCTTAATCATAACTTTATCATAGCTTTATCATAACTTAAACATAATTCAATCATAACTTTATGATAACTTTAGATCTAGAAGCTAGAATTCACGATAAACTCTCAATGACTTTCACTAAAGATTCAAGACTTCAAGTCTTCGAGATCAAGCTTTAGATCAAGCTTTAGATCAAGATCTTGAAGAAAAAGATCAAATTTTCAATTGAAATGGAAACCAGTAAACAATAGATTTTACAATACTGTGAAAGCAAGAAAAAAGATCTAAAAGAGGAATTGAAAAATGCGACCCGAGTGTTTACCGTATCAGATTCAAAGCTTGAGTCCTCTTTGATGGGCGCAAGTAAAGTAATCCTCTTTTTGAGAATCGACTTGACAATAAAAGCCGGCCTTTCTTCATCGATCAATTCGACTCGAATCCTTGGAATTGATCCACCGTTCATCGCTTCATCATCGTACAATCAATAGCTTCTAGACAAAATGGGGGATTTCAAATATGTTGACGAATAAATGACTGCGCTTTGCCCCCCTTCTCCCACCTCTTCTCCACCTCTTCTCCACCTCAATATCCCCTCGTTTTCAACAACGAATGACTCTGTTATTTGGTTGGGCGATGTTTCTTACAAATCTATCTCCGTAAATGGGATTTTTAAAACAACGATCTCTCATCATATCTTGAATTCCTCTGGGAGCTGCTAGCACAAAAAAAAGGCCGCTTTTTTTAATTATCCAAAGACATTTCTTTTCTTCTTTTCTTCTTTTCTTTTCTTTTTTCTTTTCTTTTCTTCTTTTCTTTTCTTTTCTTCTTCAACACCACAATTGCTTTCCTTTTACCTCAGACATTCTCTCTTTTTATCTTTTTCTTAAAAAGAAAACTTCAAGAAAGTTCAATCAGGGATTTTTTTTTTCGTATTAGAGCTTCTAACATCTAATTTTCTCTAATTATTGAGACATGAGTGCTTACGTGAAGCTGAGTTGTCTATTACTAAAATAAAAACAAAATTATATCCTGTGGAAGAGTTAGATAACAATTTAGAAACTATATGGGTGGTCTCCGTCCCTTTCTCCCCTCGGTGCTCAATGATGAAAAGTCGAATTTACAAGATTTCAACAAGAAACAGAAGAAACACAGAAAATTCTTCAAAAAAATATATATCACCTCTCTGATTCCAGATTGGAGAACCATTCGAGTGTCCTCACGAGCGAGAGGACGACGATTAGTGAGTCGGAGAAGTGAATCGCGAGACTCGATCCGCTCATCATCTCCAGTCTTCTCCCAATCGAAATCACTGTGACTCTTCCTCACTCCCCTTTCATCCATCTCGATCACTCCCATATTTTCTTCAAATGATTTCCTTCGCTTTAATCGCTCTCCATTTGGGGTCACATCAGAAAAATCGAAATGAACAGTGTATCGAGTTTGATCAGTTCGATCAGTTCGATCAATTCGATCAGTTCGATCAATTCGATCAGTTCGATCAGTTCCATCAATTCCATCAATTCCATCAGTTCCATCAATTCCATCAGTCGTAGCCAAAAGATGCTCTCTAGCCGAATTCATTTCAAAGAATTTAGGAATCTCAAATTTTAAAGAGTCAACAATTTGCTTGAAATGGTGAGTGCCGCGTTGGCACGGTGAGTTCATACCGTATTCATACGCTTTTGTTTCACGAGAAAAGCTAGTGAGATTTTAGGGAAAAGATTAAAAGAGTTGAAAGAGAATGGACCTTCATGCACCTCACCGTTAAAGCCGCATTTTCCATCGACAGAGTGAAAGGTTTTGAGACTAGAAAAAGAATTGTGAAGGGGGGTAAATGATGCCGGATAAAGTGCATAGAATCTTGGGGAAATATTCTCAGCAAAAGACTATGACCCTGAATGATTTCATTAAGAGAACACTCGATAGGAAAAGAAACAAAGAAAAGAAATAAAGAAAAGAAACAAAGAAAAGAAGAAGTTAAAGATTCTGGGGGAAAAGAAGCAAAAAAATGATTGCAATGATTGTAATCTATTTCTGATTGTAAGAGATACAAATGGATTTACGGGGAAAAAGGAAACAAGTGTTGGATTCGGTGGAAAAGAGGATGGAGATGTGTGGGGAAAAGAAGCAATCCGAGACTCACCCATAATTGGGCGCCCTTAGCGGCCTCACCCATCACTTTAGATCTAGAAAACTTGTAGATCTTTAGAAGATCTTTATAATATCTACACCTTGTAGATCTTTATAATATCTACAACTTGTAGATCTTTATAAGATCTACAACTTGTAAGCTTCATAAGATCTACAAAAGCTTCATAAGATCTTTATAAGATCTACAAAAGCTTCATAAAATCTACAAATCTTCTGAAGACAAACGAGTAAGAGAATGAAGATGTAAAGCACTAATAACTCTAATAAAGTACCAATAATCACTCTAATAAAGTACCAATAATCACTCTAATAAAGTACCAATAAAGTGCAGTGATCAGAAAAGTCAAAAGAATCAGTGCAAATAGATGAAACTTTTTATCCCGCTAACAGTCCACTACTTTAAGTGAATACTGAACAAAATCCCCAAAAAAACACTTATCGATACCTGTTCTTGAACCTCACCCGAAAATATCCGTTCGACACGAGAACGGTGAGCGTCGGCTTCTTCTTTCGGAATTTTTCAAAGCGATTCCCCGAAAGCAACATAGCACATACTACAAAGAAATCATTTTTTTAAATACTTATTCACAAGAATAATATGATACAAACAATACACAAATATAGAGGAAATACCATATATGGAAAAAAAAGACCTAGATTGGATCAAATTGGCGGGTGGCGGGATTGAAGCCTTGACCTCCCGACTAAGCTACACAGGTCTTAAACCAGTGGGCCATGGAGGTCATGAAAGCTTCCGAAGAAGAATTGAAATAATAAAGAATCAGCGAGATCTCGAAGTCAAGATCAGCAAGATTAGTCAAGATCGATCAGCAAGATCTTAAGATCGAAAAAAATTCAGTCATTTTCTTTAAATGTTTTCTCTGAAAGATCTACGTTGTTAAAATGTTGAAAAGAGTGCGGAAAAACGGTGTGTTTTGAAAAAGAAGAAGAAAAAGAAGAAGGAAAAGAAGAAGAAAAAGAAGAAGAAAAAAAAGAAGAGGAAAAAGAGGTGAGATGTGGAGGTGAAGGAGGAGAAAACAAAAGCTCGACAAGGCTTTCCCTCACACACTTCAACCACCTCAGCAAAAAAAGAAAAGAATTTGATGACTACTTGAATATCGATGTTTCTAATCTAACTATTCGTTTGTCTTTGAATTACTAAACTTAAAGCCATCCTATCAAATGATTTGTTCAAAAATTGGGGCTAAAAACGATCTTTGGCTAGAATGATTGAATTGACTCCAACCCTCGTTTCTTAATTATCGTTCCTTTTTTTTCCTTTTTTGAATCTCACTTCATTGCATTACCTCAACAATATCGAAAGAAAATGTTTTCAATTTCTGAAATCATTTTATTTCATTTCATCAAAATGTCATCATTACCCAACTAGCTATCATTCAAATTCTTTTTTTGAATCTTTCACGCAAAATTTTGAACACAAAATTGAATTTTAAAAATGTGTTCATGAAAAGGAAAAAGGTTAATAAACGGATTACGGATAAAGGGATTTACAATAAACGGATTTACAGTAAAGGGATTGACAATAAAGGGATTGACAGTAAAGGGATTGACAGTAAACGGATTGACAGTAAAGGGATTTACATTAAAGGGATTACGGATAAAGGGATTTATAATAAAGGGATTTACAATAAACGGATTGACAATAAAGGGATTGACAGTAAAGGGATTGACAGTAAACGGATTGACAGTAAAGGGATTACGGATAAAGGGATTTATAATAAAGGGATTTACAATAAAGGGATTTACAATAAAGGGATTTACAATAAAGGGATTTACAGTAAAGGGATTGACAGTAAAGGGATTGACAGTAAACGGATTTACAGTAAAGGGATTGACAGTAAAGGGATTTACAATAAAGGGATTTACATTAAAGGGATTTACAGTAAAGGGATTTATAATAAAGGGATTTACAATAAAGGGATTCACTATGAAATTTCACTCTGACAGAGAATTTCTGTTAAAATGTTTTTAATTTTTAAAGGAAAAGAAGCAAAAGCGTCCAGACTCTCAACTTCCCCAATCCGGAATTCATTTTGACAGGTTCTCTAATTCCCCTTTTCCATTCAAAAACAACAAATTATCGTCATTGAGTGGTCTTCTCAAGAAGAAACGAAATCTCTTCAACTTCAGATATTTTATGGGTTCAATCGGGCAAAAGGACAAAAAAATGATCATTTTCTAGTGAATATGTTACAAAACTAGTTTTTTTCACAACCTAAATGATTTAATAGTTAATTTTGTTGGGAGAAGCTATCAAATTTTAGATTTAGATCTTGCCTAACTGTGAGTTTATGTACTGATCAATAAATTTATCAATCCTTTAATGAATTTATAGTCTAACTTCTAGTCTTGACCTTAAATCTGTGTCTTTTCCTTTCTCTTCCCTGTTGTATACCCTTTTTCTTCTTTGGCAAACAGATACCAGATAGCTCAGTGGTTAAAGCATCTGCTTGGGAGACGCTCGATTCAATGGAGGTCAGGGGTTCGATTCCCTCTCCGGAAATTTTTTTCATTCTTTAATTTATTTTACTTTATCCATATTCATAGCTACTCGATAATCATAGCTTCATCTACAACAAAGCAACAAGACCAATCCCCTTTCATCATTGAAACGACTGTTTTTGAAAAATATTTACCACTTTTTAAAGTTAAAACCGAAAAGAATCTGTTGTTGGAAATGGAAATCTTAAAAATTACAACTCAAATTAGAGGCTATAGAAAAAGAATGAAAAGCCTGGGTGAGGGTTAATGAGCAATGGAAGGAGGAGATGTTGCTATTTGAAGAAAAGGAGAGAAATCGAAACGATGAATCAGTTCGAGGGTAATAGAGAGGAGCTTTATCTACTAAATAGATTTGAAAATCTCGTGTCTCGAAAGAATCAAGCAATTCTCAACAAAAATCCTTTCAATATTGACTCTAAAAAAATAGATGGAATTCGATTAAAAACAGAAATCTTCAGTAAAGAAGCTGAGTAAAAGATTTTCAGTGTTCAATGGGGACAAGGAATCAACGAGTTTTTGGTTGACAATTGATCTCCCATGGGAGTGAACAGAACAACTCAAAAAGTTTTGAGTTGTTTGAGAACGAAAAGCTTTTCATGAATCTTCAATCATTTCCACTTGATCACAAGAAAAACAAGAGTTTTTGGAGATTTTGAATCGGCTTTTTTTAATCTAAATAACCACAAATCCATTCTCTTCACTCACTAACGATAGTACAAAGTTTACAACAAAAAAATTCCTATATTCTACTAAAGAGTTGCCAAGTTCGAGTTTTCCCAAGATTAAACCGATTGCTTGGCAATCGGCAATCGGCAATCGTGCAGTAAAATCACTCACATTGTGCATCCGACTGGCGCGTCTTGAATGCGGTCTCGGGTTGGTGGCCGAGCGGCGATGCGGAGCCTGTTGACCGGCCGACAGCGACGACGGTGGGGTGAAAGTGAGTGACGGAGGGCCAGCCACCTGCACATTTCTAACTTCCCCTTCATTCTTTCACTCTTCGTTGATAAAAATAGACAAGAAATCTATTCGAGTGGCACTCAGATTGAGCTTTTTGATTTACCTGAAGAGTGTGGATTCCCTCGTCACAATCGCGGCCGCCAAAAACGGCAGTTTTCATCTTCGATCAACCATTTCTATACAAAACTATAGAAGCATAGAATTGTGAAATAATAATAAAAATAAAAAAAGAAATCATTGTTGATCATTAGTGGAAAGTAAATAAAAATACTGTAAATACTGTAATAGTACCCCACCCCCATAATGACGGTGCAGAGTGTTGCGTAGTCTAGCTTTGAACGAGTTTTTCTCGACACTGGTTTATGCTACAATGCGCGCTTAGGTATCAAAAAATAGCTGAAATTCAGGGCTATTTTTTGATACCAAAGACGCATTTTTTGAAAGTACGGGTGCTTTGAAAAAAATGAAATACTAAAAAACTTTTGCGACTACGCGACTGTACGAGGGGGTGGGGTATTATTATAGTATTTACGGTAATAATTTTTGCTTATAATCTTTTAGAAAAACTTATAGTAACTAGCAAAGTAGCTAGCAAATAAAAGCTAATAAATAATAGTATTTATAAAGCTTACAAAGAATAGTATATAGCTTATAAAGTACAAAAACTATTCTTTCAGTAGTCAAAGCTAGACTACGCAACACTCCGCACCGTCATTATGGGGGTAGGGTACTATTACAGTATTTACGGTAAATACAAGAAAACAAAATTCATTTTACTTTTAATGGCTTAAGGTTTCGGTTTATTTATTTCTTGTGGTAAAATGAATGGGAATGAGAGAGGGGGAAAAGGGAGGTGAGAAGTGTGGCCTTTCTTTAAAGCTTTTCTTTAAAGCTTTTCTTTAAAGCCTTTCTTTAAAGCTTCTCTTTAAAGCTTTTCTCTAAAGGCGTCAACCACAATATGAGACTTAATTAGGCGTAGAAATCAGAGTGAGAAAAGCTTAAAAGAAAGCTCGAAATGAAAAAAAAGCCAACCGGACACGACGAAAAGCTGAGCTCATTCAATTCTCTAACATCTAATCTAAATTTACAAGAAAATTGATCAAAAGAATCGAGTAAAGTCAAGAAAAAGTGTCAAAAAATTCAGAAAAAAGTAATTAATTTCTAAAGAATAAGAATTGAATTATGCTAAGCTAAGAAAATGATTTTAAAATGAATTTTCCTAATTGAGCATATCTGGAAAAAGAAAGAGATATGATTTCTTGGAAAAAAATCGGGAAAATGTGAAAGAGAGAAAAGAGTAGTCGAGCCGCAGTCGACACAATTAGTAGCCGTTGGATACTGATTCAAAAACGAGAGAATTCTTTGTGTCCATTTATCTATAGATTCAACTTCTAAACCATCAAACTTTGACTTTGAAAAGTCTCTCTTATTTTCATCTCGTTTCAATTCTTTTAGATTTCCCGCCCCTTCTTCTCAATTCTCTTTTATCTGCTTCACAAATTTGTCTTGAACGTCGATTTGCTATTCTATTCGTTGGCCTATGTTTCCCCCATGTTTCCCTTGTTCCCATTGAAGATTCTGAATCAATTTTTTAGATAGAATTTGGTCTAATATTGGTGAAAATATGGAAAAATTAGAAAGATGAGAAGAGAAAAAGTAGAGAGAGAGATAGAGAAATGGACTCCAGGTGATTTGGTTAGTTACAGAGAAAACTCGATTCAAAAAAAAACATTCAAAGCTTAAGCTTTGCTTAAGTTTTGCTAATGAATAATGAAAAACGAGAGTTTTCATCTTCGATCAATCATTTCTATACAAAACTATAGAAGCTACAGGTTAGTTCGTTTGGGTTATTGACAGAGAAATTTGAATCCAAAAATATTCAATCTTAAAATTTGTTTTGCTAATGAATAATGAGGTAATAGATTTCTTTTCCAAAGATTTTATTAAATCACTTAATTCTTTTAAACTTTCTGTAAGCTATTCTTATAATTAAAGGTCTAAGAAGGCTAAGAAGGCTAAGAAGGCTATGAAGGCTAAGAAGGCTAAGAAGGCTAAGAAGGCTAAGAAGGCTAAGAAGGCTATGAAGGCTAGGAAGGCTATGAAGGCTAAGAAGGCTTATAATTAATTATAATTACTTTCTGTAAGCTATTCTTATAATTAAAGGGCTTAAAAGGCTTTCTTAAAAAAGGCTAAGAAGATCAATTGTAAAAATTCGAAATGAAAAAGTTAGTATAAAAGAGGAGATTTTGTTTTCTATGAAAATTTGAACCCAGTTTTCAGCAGTAGTCAAACTAGAAGCTTTTCTGATAAGTGAATAGGTTAAGTTGGTAGAAAAGGATTGAAGGGAAGAGGAGGCGTCTGAAGAAAAGGCTTTTTGAGAAGCAAAAGGCATTCGATGATTCGTTCTTTTCTCTCAATTTTCCCTTAGTGTTCTTGGGCTATAAAAAAGGCCGAGATCCTTTTTTTTTCTTTTTTGATCCTGTGAATAAAAGAGATGAAGATAGAAGAAGAAAAAGAAGAAAAAGAAGGAGCTGAGTCCATATTTACAAGTAATCAAATACTCCGGGAAAAGCGCCTTTTTGGCTCAAGGGAGAAGTGGTTTGAGAGAAAAGATAGGGATCTCAAGTTGAATCACAAGAAATCTACTTCAGTTAATCATGAGGTTAATATAGGAATTGTATTGTTGAAGAGGATTGTACTGTTGGATAGGATTGTACTGTTGGATAGGATTGTACTGTTGGATAGGATTGTATTGTTGGATAGGATTGTATTGTTGAAGAGGATTGTACTGTTGGATAGGATTGCACTATTGAAGAGAATTGTACTGTTGAAGAGGATTGTACTGTTGGATAGGATTGTACTGTTGGGTAGGCTTGTATTGTTGAAGAGAATTGTACTGTTGAACAGCTAGGGTTTTTTGAATAACTGTATAAGAGAGGAAAGTTTAGGTTAATGCTAAAACTGAGAAAACAAAAGCTTTTCGAATTCGCTGCCTTTTAAATGATAGAAAAAGACGAGAGAGGTTTTGGTGAGTATCGGTGAGTGGCTTTTGTTTTTGCAGAAGGGGGAAGCAGGCCCGCTTATTTTGGCCTGGGCTATTAGTCGCTCAGTGGATTGGATCCGAAACGTGCCCGCCTTTCCTGTTTCATCCTTTTCCCCGCAATACTTCTATTCTCATCCTCAAGCTGACTCTGAACTTTTTTTGTTCTTTTAAACTCCAAATCACTTTATTAAACTTTTAAGCTTCCTTAAACAAATATAAACTAAAAGATTATAACTAAATGTTGCCTTTTGGTTTATTAAGTCGAGGTTGAGGTTTATTAAGTCGAAAATTAAGGAAGTTGAGGTTTATTAAGTCGAAATTAATAAGAAATTGTGAAAGTTATCAGATCTTGAGTATTCAATTAAGAATTTCTTAAAAACGAGAGCTCAAATAGAGTTCCGAGTGTTCATAAGGAGTTTTTTTTTAGGGAAAGATGAAATGGAAAGAGGTTTCATGCATGAAAAGGAGACCAATGTGGTGTCACCTCATCCATCACCACGCTTTCACAATTATCCAATCCCATGCACAACCACATTCCTCTTTCAACATTGTTCTTAAAAAGATCAATTTTAGTTTTAACAAAAAGCTGTTAGATTGTTTCAATGTAGATGACAAAGTAGATGATAAAAGTGATAGATGTAGTGATAGTAGATGTGATAGTAGATGTGATAGTAGATGTGATAGTAGATGTGATAGTAGATATGATAGTAGATGTGATAGTAGATGACAAAGTAGATGTGATAGTAGATAACAAAGTAGATGATAAAAGTGATAGTAAAAAGCTGAAAAAATCTGCCTATATCATGAAAAAGGTTCTCAAGCAGAGATCAATGCCGTTTGTCAGGGAATCGAAAGAGATGGGGAAAAGGCAAAAGGGAAGAGGAAAAGGCATTATAATTGGATTATGCGTTGTGAAGGAAGAGGAGGGAGAAGAAGAGGAAAAGAAGGAGGGCCATTTTTGGCTGCTTCGTGCATCTCGTGTGACTGTGGTGTGGTTTCCCCTAATGGCTTCCGGCCTTCTCGATTCCCATCACCAACCGATCTCTCTATTCCCTTTTTTTCCCTATTTCTCTCTAAGCATTCGCCCAATTTCAAGATCTTTATATGGAATTGAGTCGAGTGAAATAGATGATCAGTTGAATCAAGATGAATGAATGAATCAAGATCAATATGAATACAGATGAATCAAAGCCGATAATCTATCGAATCTATCGAATCTATCAAATCTTTAAATCTCGGTTTTATATTCACACATTGAAGCTCTTCGATTATTTAATATAGTGAAAGATCTGTGGAGTGAAAGAGGGTCAGATCAAGTGGAAGAGAGTGAAGAGAATGGTGGGGAGATCGAGACAAAAAAAAAGATTGCGGATAAATGAGAAATGAAAAGAGTTTGGCTGTGATGACAAGGGTTACACAACATTATCATTAAACCAAAAAAAAGTACGAGAATAGCCAACACATCAAGAATAGCGATTTATTGCTGACCCGGAAATTGACACTTCCCTCTTTAATAACTCTTTAATAACTCTTTCATAACTCTTTAATAACTCTTCAATAACTCTTTAGTAACTCTTTAGTAACTCTTTAATAACTCTTTAATAACTCTTCAATAACTCTTTAATAACTCTTTAATAACTCTTTAATAACTCTAACTCTTTAATAACTCATTCTTTTTCTCTGACTCAAAGAATACCAAGCACATCCCAAAAATTAAGAGAGTTTTCAAACAAAGAAATTCAATAGATATGCTTTTGAAAAGAACTCACGGCTCGCATTTCCTGAATGGTTGATTGTTTGGGGCGGCACGGAGTTAGCCTCACATGCTCTAATTGATTTGCAGCCGCCTTCTGGAAATTTTAATTTAAAAAAATTTCTAACAATAAGACAATCTAAGATAAAACAATTAAGAAAAGAAAAAGATTAGACAGCTTTTCAAAAAGAACCATTGGAAGATTCGAACTCTAGCCTTCAAACTCTAGTCTAAGCTAGTCTACGCTAGCCTAAGCTTAGTCTAAGCTAGTCTAAGCTAGTCTAAGCTAGTCTAAGCTAGCCTAGCTAGCCTAAGCTAGTCTAAGCTAGTCTAAGCTAGCTTAAGCTTAGTCTAAGCTAGTCTA